CCCATTTCTGATGCCCCACGGCGTGATATAGCAAAAAGTGGCGTAAAACCTGGTAAAAAGTGGGGTATTCTTCATATTTTTATCTAATTATTTATATTTAATCTAGATGACGTAAAAATAGTACCAGTCATCTCAACTTATCTGTAGGGTGAAGTCAGACAAAGCATATGATTCATAGTTCCAGGCTGAGCTGAAGAGGATTTTAATGGCCTATCAAACAACAGCGACACGGTGCCGAAGTATGAACTAAGGTTATCGCAGTTATCTCCCTTTAACTGTTTGTGGCTGAGCACATACCCCAAGTTCCTGGTTCAGCGTCGTTTCTCTCTTAAAACCATTACCGATATTGTTTATAACACAGTTCAAAGTAAGGAATAAACCTCAGCATGAAAGTTCCCCGACATAAAAATACTTATATCTTTTCCTGTCGGTTATCACGTTCCGATATTCATTGCAGTATAAAGAGGGTGGCAGGTGTGAAGGATGGAGCATGACTGTCGGGGAATAACCCGTCTTTGTCTCTGATACACCGTACTTCATCACCTAGGATTCGCTTCTCTTAACTGTGATCTTCATCTCAACATCCACATCAATATACCGTTCTAAGGATGACGTGTATTGCAGGGGGATTTCCATCTTCAGGAAATGTTATCTTTACTGCAATCGAAGCGGGTCTGTGTGAAAGCATTTAAACAGGCTTTACGCTGAGTCACGTGATTTACACAGGTTGCCTAATACGTATGGGGAAGGTAAAATTGTCTTTAACAACGTCGCCAAACACGTATGAATGAAACTCTTTGGAGGTGTGGTAGAGTTACGTGTGTCATATCATAGATGTGTTCAACGGGAGATACTGATTGAATACGATGTTACTGTGCTCTGAACATTAGCGTTCGTATGTGAATTGGTTTTCGAAGCAGTAGTGAACAGTATTTAATTAGGGTGTACACTCCCCAGGGAGTCGAAAATGCGATATGAATGCTCCTGGTTCATACAACGAGTTAACAGTGGCCATGCCTTCTGTAATGTGGACACTTTGTAAATTATCTTTCGCCTTGAAACGCGTTGTCACACACCTTTAGATTCCAGAATCGTTGTCTTCAGCTCAATTCCTGCTCGGGACATTTACGAAATACAACGGAAACGTTTCCCGAACATACTTCGTAAATCCGGACATTTGGTTATCCGAAAACCCGCCACTCCTCCCGATTTTACATGAAATGCGACGTCCGAATTACAGTCGATTAACTTTCTGGTGTCCCCCCGCCTTGATATTGCTGGAATATTGCTAAAGCGGCGTAAAGCCCAACTCACTCACTCACTCACTCACTCTATACGACGGTTAGAAGAGCGCACCTTTCTTTTAGCACCCAGTTTTTAGCGATTTAATGTAACTGAGTGTGTTTGTATATGGTAAAAAAAGGCATAAATGATGTTTGAATCATTCGCCCTATCCAGAAAAATCATTTTGAAATATTTTCGTCCCAAATTGAAGGTTTTCCTTCATTGTTATCATGTAATTTCGTAACAGGGATCGCGTTTCTAGCTATGTCAAGGAATAAATTATTGAATCTGGACCAGAATCTGAGTCACAGCCGTGATTGGATGCGTCAGTGAAGTGAGTGAGGATGGGACTGGTGTTTCTTGGGTAAGATATTGGCTCTTGGTGGTGATGATGATGATGGCGGCGACGACGACGACGACGACGACGATGCTGATGATGATGAGTGAGTGAGTTTAGTTTTACGCTGCTTTTAGCAATATTCCAGCAATATCATGGCGGGGGACACTAAAAATCTGCTTCACACATTGCACCTATTTGGAGAAAGGAACCCGGGTCTTCGGCGTGACGAGCGAACGCTTTAACCACAAGGCTACCCCACCGCCCACCTGATGATGATGATTGATGATGATGATGATGATGATGATGATGATGATGATGATGATGAACACGACATGAATTAGAAGGCATGATTTATATATCAGTTTTTCTATTTTCCTTTCGAAGGGCTGCAGTTATAACAGGAAAACTGGTTACAAATGCTTTGTTTGTTTGTTATTTAACGCCATCCTCCGCAATATCCCTGCCATATATCAGCGATCTGTAAATAATCGCGTCTGGACCAGACAATCCAGTGATTGGCGTCATGAACATCGATCTACGCAATTTTGGAATCGATGACATGTGTCAACCGAGTCAGCGAGCTTGACTACCCGATCCCGTTAGTTGCCTCTTTCGACAAGCATGGGTTGCTGAAGATCAATTCTAGCCCGGGTCTTCAGGGGTTGGTTACATGTGAAAAATTGCATCTGAAATATATATGTTCTCAGCATCCTTATTACTGTCTTATTTAGTTTCTCTATAATCTTTTAAGTATTGTTCAGTGTGTTAGACTAACCACTAGTCTCTGAAATGAATATATTTTACAGAAAAAAAGTTCATTGTAAAAAAAATGTACATGTATATAATGAAAAGGAGCCCTGTGACTTTCTTCATTTAGCTGTGGAAATCTAGACTTGACACATTTTCTAGACTTGTTTGGGCTTTCTTGGACATATTTGCTTCTGGGTCTGTATGACAGACTATGAATGAGTGTGTTTTGCTTAACCCCACTTTATACAGTATTCCATAATATATCAAGGTTTTATGTGGTATGGATGGCCGAACTGATGCAGGTCTTGGACGTTCACCGGGATTCGAACCCAGGATCTTAGGATTCCAGCAACGGACGACCTGGCCACCAATGTCTTAATAGTTTTTAGTTGGTTTGGTCTTAAACGCCACACTCAGCAATATGCTAGCTATATGACAGCGGTCTGTAAATGATCGAATCTGGACCAGAGAATCCAGTGATCAACAGCATGAGCATCGATATAGGCAGTTGGGATACGACGAGAATCAAATCAGCGAATCTGACCACCCGATCCCGTTAGTCGCCAGTTACGACAAGCATGGATTGCTAACATGGATCTTCACGGGTTCCAAGTAGTAGTAGTAGCAGTAGTAGTAGTAGTAGCAGTAGTAGTAGTAGTAGTAAGTAGTAGTAGTAGTAGTAGTAGTAGTAGTAGTAGCAGTAGCAGCAGTAGTAGTAGCAGTAGCAGCAGCAGTAGTAGCAGCAGCAGCAGCAGCAGCAGCAGCAGCAGCAGCAGCAGCAGTAGCAGTAGTAGCAGCAGCAGCAGTAGTAGCAGCAGCAGTAGCAGTAGTAGCAGCAGCAGCAGCAGTAGTAGTAGTAGTAGTAGTAGTAGTAGCAGTAGCAGCAGTAGTAGTAGTAGCAGCAGCAGCAGTAGTAGCAGTAGCAGTAGTAGTAGCAGCAGCAGCAGTAGTAGTAGCAGCAGCAGTAGCAGCAGTAGCAGCAGCAGTAGCAGCAGCAGTAGTAGTAGTAGCAGCAGCAGCAGTAGTAGCAGTAGCAGCAGCAGTAGTAGTAGCAGCAGCAGCAGTGAGTAGTAGCAGCAGCAGCAGTAGTGCCAGTAGCAGTAGTAGTAGCAGCAGCGGTAGTAGTAGTAGCAGCAGCAGTAAGTTGTGGTAGTAGCAGCAGTAGTAGTAGTAGTAGTAGCAGTAGTAGTAGTAGTAGTAGTAGTAGTAGTAGTAGTAGTAGTAGTAGTAGTAGTAGTAGTGTGATCGTTGTTACACGTAAATTCGGTTGGTTGTCATATTTGTTTCTATGTTGAGGACGTTCCAGCAGTATTCAGTAGACATTTTATCAGTAGTGTAATAAAATGGCTCTATTCAGTCCGTTGAGCATTGTGGATCAAATATAACTTAAAATTACACAAATTATATGGCATACATAATGATAATAAACTACAAGTCAAAGGTATCTACTTCCACTCAGATATATTGGTATTGATATATTCTACACAGACTGTAACAAGGCGGGCTTACATTTATTTCAGAATTTTCTGTCATTGAACATCGTGTCAGTCAAATTAAAAACTAAAACTAAACTCTTTCAGCGTGCACAGGTGGCCGATGGCAGAGTTGCGTCCCTTGGTACGCCAGAATACTGATTAAAGGAGTTCGCCTCCGATCAGATTTTTAAGGTTGTCAGCAGAACACCCATGCTTGCTGATTTGTCTGTTTTTTGTTGTTGTTGTTTTTTTGTTTTTACTAAAGATTGGTTGTCATAGCATAACGCACAAACATAATGAAGTGTTTAAACATAGACCAACACGTGAATACAATGTATTATGTTTAAAAGGTACATATCGTCAAGGAGAATAGAAGACGCTGCAGATTATCCCTGATTTCGTGTATGAGTAAGTGTGTGTGTGCGAGTGTTGTTTTGAAGCTGATTATTCATTCAACTTGTTTCAATACTAACTTTTTTCGTCTCTTGTAAATTATGTTATCCCAAAACTATATCAAACTAATTTCAGCTTTCTAAAGTCATATAGAGCTATTACCCAGGGGAAAGAATGTCGCAATTAGGTGTATGTGAGTGTGTCATGTTATTCATATATTATGCAGCATAAAAAATTACAATCTAGATTTCCCATTTATTATGAAAGGATACCTTCATAAATGTCAATTATCGGGATATTTGTTATGACCATTTAATACCATTTATGACCATTTGATGCTTACGGAAAATCATGAGTGGTGGTAAATGAAAACTGCAAAGATAGACATGACACAACGGATTCGAAACTGAATACGTCTGAATCTACCGGGATTGGTACTAGTAAGTAAATATAAAAGGGGGTCCCCCTGTTTATATTTACTGAGGAAATGAACTTGTTTTACCATGAATCAGGATCGTAATTATATAGTGGCCATGAACAGTATATTTATAAACTTCGACATTAATGACTCAAGTCCGCATTTCCCATCTGCTATATCTCAATGAAATTAACTTTCTGTCAATTTCCCCGTTTACTTTGTAAATAATGCTATTATTCCAGTGTTGTTGGATTGAACACGTCCTTCGTGGGCTTTTGCGGGAAACCGGTTTCGTAACCTGTCTCTGACGTTAGAGTAGCCTCCCTTTGGTTTCTGGCATAATCAGCGCCATCTAGACCATCACCACGTCACTTTAGAATACGAAGTAATGTACAACATGGAATGATATTGTCAATAAGCATGTGTGTCCTAATGGCAGTCACCGTGCAGAATGGATAGTCAAATATGACATAAATGGGCATGTAAGATGTCCACGACATAACCGCTGTCATTTCGCAGATATTAGACAACGAAATTATCCAAGTGAACGAGTCAGCCATTTTTGTTTGATCTACGAATTAGTTCTTGTTGATCATTTCTGATAGTGACATCTCGACTGTGATCGTCTCATCAACTCACGCAGGTACCATTTTAACCGATTGGTTATCTTGTTTGCTCTTATAACATTTGTAAAAAGCAATAATACTGTGATTCGGGACTCATGGTTTCCTTCATGTGACAGTCTTTGACAAGTGGGCCATTTGGGAGCACGACGTTTCATCAAATTAATGATTATGAAGCCAATATAAATTACGTCCACAATATTTTTACGCGTATGTTCTATTCGATACTGTCACGTGAATTACTGATCATATGTGATGGTTCTTTTTTTGTGAAGAAGTCTGACATATGCACAACTCACAACACACATGTTCTTACAATTACATGACAGGCAAAAATGAGCATCCTGCAATTGTTCAGTTCTTCTGATTGATGTGACAGTGTTTTGAGCAAGATCCAAATGAGAGGACTAAGAGTAGACAGTTCTGTGTGTCTTTATAAAATACATAAAATAAGTTCCAAGCGTAACATAACTATAGTTCATAAACAATTCAATTCTCAAACTAAACCTTTTGACTCCAACCAAAGCACTGGACAGAAAATGCTGTCTTCTGTCACTGTCAAACTGGAGAAAAAGCTCATGTGGATTTCTCATGTCAGCACGATTAGGTTGAATCCCATGGGTTATCAATGCCAAGATTATGATATAAAGTCCTGATTGTATTTTGACAGATCATTCTCCTATCCAGAGTTCAATGCGACCAGTCTTATGCCGTGTTAGACCTCTGTCATATCCTCACATTACATAAAATACATCAAGAGGGAATGTCAAGTCCTTTATAATAGTGTGTAATAATCTAACTTGTTTATTGTTAGCTTGTATGGGCAATGGGGTAGCCTAGTGGTTAAAGTGTTCACTCGTTACGCCGAAGATCCGGGTTCGATTGCCCACATGGACACAATGTGTGAAGCCCATTTCTTGTGTTCCCTGCCGTGATATTGCTGGAATATTACTAAAAGCGGCGTAAAACTCAATTCACTCACTATTAGCTTGTGTAATGAATTACTTAGAAAGACCAGTTCATGTTGTAATGTTAAACATGATCATCTCTCTCAATATGTTTAAGGAGACAACCTGCAGGATGAGTCCACCAAATGGCATCTACATTATTCAGGGAGAGATCTCCCTGGTTGTCACGGCGATGAGGAGGACATCGCGATGGGCAACACATACACATCATGTAAGCAGACATATTTCATATTTAATGCCTGTGATCATGTAAAAATATATTGTTTACATGCTTGATTGGTGTAAAGCAGATATCTCTTTATTAGTACATTCACACATGGATATGCAACAAGGGTGTCAAGCATTACATTAATTACTGAAGTGAAAGACAGATGCATGGTAACATTTTATTATTACCAGTAGTTTCTTTGACAACATGTTCACTGGTGTCTGCAAAGTGCAAGTGGACAATTTGTGTTTGTATCTTTTATTTACGACTTTTTTTGTATATAATTCAAACTGAGCTACCTAATTAACACTACTTTTGTGATCTATTGTAATTTTGCCTTTTGCTTTCTATGCATCGTTTTGCACCCAAGCAGAATGTAGGCATGGGCAACACTGGTCTGTCTTTATCATGTTTAAGCAAGTCTTCATTATGAACATACTGATAAACTGTATTTTGAAATTGTGTGTTTTATCAATTGTGATTTTTACTTACAGCAGGATGAAGACAATGATCCATTGTTTGGCAGCTTCTCACAGCTTAAAGATGTTCTCAACAACATCTCAGGTAAATGTAGATGTTAATTTTCAACAGTGCATGTTTATTATGTGAGCCTCATGTCATCAAATGTGTGCAGTAACCATGGTAACTTGTTATATTCTTGATGACAACTCATTAGGGCTGTAACGTTGGCACTGAGTTCATCCATTCTTCCTCTTCTCAACGGGGAGTAATTTTGCTAAAAACTGTTTATTTTGGAAGACTGAAATATTACAAAGATGATGGAACTAGTTCCGATCTCTAATGAGTTCTGTTTGGGTCTTAATTTATTTTTGTTTTCAGAGTTATGTCCCTTGCTCAATGCATGGATTTATTGTGGACTTCTCATTTTCAGTGTTTGGCTCTTGAAATAACATTTCTAATTCTAGTGGCTGTTATTTTGATAATTTCAAATGTTTCAGCTTTGCAAATGTCGATTGTGTACAGTAACAGGATCAGTAAAAAGAAAACTACTTCAATTTCTGGTTTAACATCATTGCTTTGACTTCAGTGTTAAAATAACTCTGTTACATAATGCTTTCTTTCCCAGTTTGCCTTTTTCTGACACTTACAGTTGATGAGCCTAGATAAATTCATGTGTAATAGTGTTTATGCCAACTCACCTTGCTCACCATATGTACTTTTCTTGTAGATCTGGATGAGCTTGAGCCTAATGTTTTTCTGAGCCCTTTCCTTGAAGTTATCCGATCTGAGGATACAACAGGGCCCATTACAGGACTTGCTCTCACCTCCATCAACAAATTTCTCTCCTATGGCTTAGTTGGTGAGTAGACAAGTAAATCACTGAAATTTTGTTGTTATGGTTTTAGCATATTTATGATCTGTGACAATACCTGTATTATATATATGGGGCCTTTGAACTTTTGAGCTTTTGAATGCAACCCTATATAGTAAAACACTGCGTCAGTGGTAGAGTGGATGCTGTTCGTGGTTTAACCCAAGTCTTCGATTGAAACAGATTACTCCAGGATTTTTGAGGTCGTGAAACGGGTGCAGTTATTTTGCACACCCAGCTTAATAGTATTATAGGATATGACTAAGATGGTGATGGGTGGACAAAATGGTTGCTTGGTAGTAAATGGATGGATGTAACCATCCTTTGTCATGCTTAGTTTTATCACTATTTGCACTTGTGCTGCGCGTCCGTGGTGTTGAGGATAGAGTGTCCGCCCGGAGAGCAGAAGGTTGCAGGTTCGATCCCGGGCCTCATCATACCAAAAGACATTATAATGTGGTACTTGTTGGTCCCTGCCTGGCACTTGGCATTAATGGGTATAACAAGGACTGGACAGCTCGGAGTCAGTATAATGTGGTTGAGTGTATGCTTAACTGTGGCATGGTTTCACAGTGAGATAGAACTATAAAACTAGCTAAAGTCTGGGCTGGTACAAGCAGCCACACACGTTGTCATATGAGCGAAAAAATTCTTAAGTACGACGTTAAACCCCATTTCACCTCACCTGTTTGCACTTGTCTTCAGTCTGATCCAGTCTTGGCTGCTTGATTAAACTGTCAAATGCTATACTGAAATATCCCAAAGGAAAACACACATCTGTAGTCTCGAGTTGTCTTCCTATGCTTTGTTTGTGAAATATGTGCTTTGTCCTCTTTTCAGTTCCAACTCGGGAGTCTGCCTCAGCTGCCATAGAGAATATAGCAGATGCTGTTACCCATGCAAGATTTGTTGGCACCGACCCTTCGTCCGATGAAGTTGTCCTCATGAGGATATTATATGTAAGTTCCTGGTTGAGGCGGCAGTTTTGCTAGCCCAGACACTACAGTTTGCTCCTTGTTGGTTAAAACTAGGGCTGTAATGATGCATCAAACTATCGATGGATTGCAATAGTTCAGTCTCCGATAGCAATTAATCGGTGGTAGAAACAAAAAACAATCAATGCATCGATAGTATGTGAGGCTATCGATAGTTTAGTAATTGACTTCCATTGATAAATGCACAGTGCAAAATACAGGATGTTTGGGTGCAGACTTGCAGCTTCATTGAGTTTATGTGTTAACTCTTTGCTTCATCTGGATGTCAAGTTTCTTGTCAGTTATTAATAGAGAGTGAAACTACTTCAACTTGTTTTTATTTCATATTAACAGTTAATATGAAATGAAAACAAGTTACTATACAATCATTTGAGACATGACTTCAAGTAAGATAATACAAGGAGAAGAAAACTATTAAAGTAGTATTGCAATGGTTGGTTGCAATAGACTATCGCTATCGCAATAGTATGTTGCAATAGACTGTCACTATCGTAATAGTTGTTTCCCCTTCAATAGTTAAAACCAAGGATATTTGTCATTGCTACCATGACCAGGTGCCATGATCAGTTGTGTGTTATTGATAACATGAGATGCTGCTCTTAATATCAATCATTGGTTTGTTCGCTTCATACTTCATTTTATCTGCAAGTACCAGTGAATAGCTGCAATATTGCTGTTGCAGCTTAAAGCAATATTTCGTCACTTGTACTTCATTACTTGATTTGGGGGCGGTGGGGTAGCCTAGTGGTTAAAGTGTGCGCTCGTCACAGCGAAGACCCGGGTTCAATTCCCCACATGGGTACAATGTGTGAAACCCATTTCTGGTGTCCCCCGCCGTGATATTACTGTAATATTGCTAAAAGCGGCGTAAAACTAAAACTCATTCACTCATTACTTACAGACCCACATCATGTTAATATTGGGGAGAACCACAATCCAACAAAGACCCAAAATAATCGAGAAAATAACATAGCAGCAACAAAGCTGCTGAAACCAACTCTCAGTCTCATGTCTGGGTATAGCTGTGTGTTAAGATATTGTTGAATACTGGGGCTGTAATGTCCACTCTCCTTGTGCCAGGTGTTGAGGACTCTGCTGCTGTGTCCGGCCGGCATCCTGCTCACTAATGAGTCTGTGTGCGAGATCATGCAGTCCTGCTTCCGAATCTGCTTCGAGATGAGACTCAGTGGTAACTCATGGTTCTCTTAGATATGTAATGTAGATATGATTTAACTCTTTCAGCTCCAAGTAGCCTTACTGTTAAATGAGTTTTGGTCATAACTTGAGTTATCTGCTAAGTCCAGGCCCCGATTTCTCGAAACAAACTTAAGTTTTTACTCAAATTTCAAACTGAGTTTGACAATTTGAAACAGCTGAATTTTTAACTCAACTGCATTTTTTAAATAAAAAAAGCCCAAACAACTTAAGTAGTCAATCCACCAAACTCAAATTGTCTACTATGTTTGAGTTTAATATTGATTTCAGTTTATTCTGGGGAATGCATTTTCCTGCGTTTTCTCAAATTTGAGTGAAAACTCAGACTTAAGTTTGTTTCGAGAAATCGGGGCCAGAGCTACAGATAACTTTTTGGGTCATTGAGTTATGTACTCACTTGTGTTCATCTCAATTGGGTATCCTAAAGTTTCTTTGAGTAACCAAATAAATTGTAGTCACCTCACTCAAACTCATTTGGGTATTTTGCCATTTTCCATTAAATTTGAAAATATAGTAAAGTTTAAATGTTAATGTTTGTTATTTATATTTGATCTGTAATATGAGAAACGATAAGAAAGACTGCAAGTTGTCAAGTTTATGTCCTGAAATAGAACCTCTCAGTATACTGCAGTTATTTTATCTATCTAAGCTAAGATTTGACATTTTTGTGTGTACGCACATAAGATCACATTTATTGAGTATTTACAAAAATTCAAGCGCACTGGTACGCAGTAGACTGAATAGAAATTGAGTTTTCACATAAATATTTGCATAATTTACGCAGATACGCATGCTTATCTGTACTTCTGTTAAGTATTAATGATAAAAAAATGAATTTATGATAAATATTTCATGTTACATACTCTTTCATATCTGAGTATGGTAAACTTACTGTCCAGAGATTATCCTGATAATTATGTAATTTTGGGGTGCATCTCTTCATTTCTGTTCTGTTTTTGTGGTGCAGAAATCAAGCTTTTGAACTTGTTGTTAAAACTGTTTGCCTAAAGAATACACATGTAGTCCTTTTGCAAAAGTACAATAATACACTCTTAGCATACTTATCATGCTTATGACAGTTCCTCTTTATTGGAAACTGATGGTAGTTTCTTTAGGGAGAAAGGGTTTGGGTTCATGTGGATGTTATATTATCACCGAGGTATTGTACATTCCTGGATCTTGGTTCCCTTTACCAGAGCTGTTGCGGAAGTCAGCTGAGCACACCCTCATGGACATGGTTCAACTGTTGTTTACACGACTACCACAGTTCAAAGAGGATCCCAAGTGGAGTGCAAACATGAAGAAGGTGCAGAAGCTTTTTATTAAATTTAACTACATTACAAAATGTTTGGACCAATATTACTTGTAGGAAGGGTCGGGAAATTAATTTGTTTAGGAAGGGGAAAAAAACTTGCAATCTATACTGCCAACAAAACTTTCTGTGTATCAAGGACAAGGGATGTAACTCCAGTTAGGTCATGCAAGGAATTTCTCATCTGAACAATTTGCCAAAATATTAATGTTGAATTGAGCTTCGGGAGTTTAATCAATAAAAAATAATAGATGATATTTTAAAACACTGAGCAATTTCAAAGCAACATTTGTGTATGACAGTGTTTTGGCAGAAAAACTATATATTTTTCCTTATCCTGACTCATGCTAATTATGCTTGTCTCCTTCCTCTTGCAAATGTTAGTGGAACACTTGAAATCCCTTGAAGTTCCCTTCTTAAAAAGCGGACGTAAAATCACTCTCACGAGTAGCGTCCCTTTAGAGACGTCTAAATCAGAGGATGAAGGTGAAGGCATATTCTCCGATACGGAACTTAACTCCTGGATCATCACCTTCTAAGGACACAGATGAGGCGTTTACCTACAAGATGTCCTACAATGATTTTGACACGCTCTACTTTCCACCGATCGACCCGATCTCTCAAGTACCAGACAACCTCAGCGCAGCTTTTGATAAAGCCACCAAGTCGCAGAATCAGCACATCCCAACGTTTAACGCCAGGAAATTCCCTCTACATAGGATGGAACCCTTCCTGAAGGCTCCAGAGGTTGATGATGACTACAAGATTATCACCGACTCCCGTCAGAGAACTTACAAGATTGAGGATAAGAAGTTAGCGCAGCTGGATACAACCACCAGACGTACTTTCTTCGGATTAGCCAGAAACAACGAAGCACTCATCTCGAAGTTCAAGAATTCCTCCGCCGAAGATTACCAGGTGATATACTCCGCTCTACTAATGCAGAAGAGGGACTATCAGTTTATGTCGGAGCACCTAGCATCCACATCAGCGGGCTTGACTCTCCTGAGAAGACAAGGGTTATTGTCAGCATGCACTTGGAGTGAATGCTTCACCAGGTCCTTATACAGAGCCCCATGGTCAGCATCTTACATCTTCGGAGGATGAAATTGAAGAAGTCGCCAGAGAAGTCTCTCACGAATCAAGGGAGGTTATGATGATTAAATCCATCAACACCTTGGCTAACGTGATTCGTCAGACGTCCCAACGCTACTCCAATAAGTCTAAGTTAGCAGGAGTCGAGAGAGCCAGAGAAAAGAAGTATTCCAGCATGAAAGGAGGAAGAGGCTCCTTTTGTCGCCCAACCGGAGCTCCTAGAGGTAACCCCAGAAGAGGCCGAGCACCTAGGGCTGCAAGAGGAATCAAGCGCTGAAGGCAAGGTTCGGAACGACTGGAGTCTTCTACCCCCAGCCGTTTTCTGTACAACCTTCGACAGTGGGTGGACATCTTCAACGCTACTGGGAGAATTGGGGATTACTACAGGATGACTACGTATCCCAGATATTGCTCAGAGGATACAAGATACAGTTGGAAGCCACTCCGCCGCTCAGAAGCAACCTGATGGACTTCAACTATGCAGCCAACCAGATAGAGAAACTGGATGATGCTATCAAGACCCTACTCGACAAAGAGGCAGTAGAAGAGATAGATCAAGATCTCATCACACCCGGTTTTACTCCCCAATTTTCCTGGAACCGAAGAAGAATTCCAAGGAGAAATTTCGGCTCATCTACAACATGAGGAAGTTCAACCGGGAGTATCTACGCAGACCAGCAAAATTCAAGATGATACATCTTTCTCAGCTCCGACATCTCATTCGTCCAGCAGACTAGCTCGCCAGCATAGATCTGCAAGATGCGTACCTCCACTTCCCGATACATGTGGAAATATTTCAAGGAAATACCTACGATTCCTTTTCAACCGCTCTAAGCATCTCATGGGAAGGACTAAACGTTTACTACAGAAAATCAAGCAGACGACTACGTTGCAACTGATTTTGGTCGCGCCCTACTGGCCAGCGAGGGTATGGTTTCCCGTCCCCATACAAGAACTCAGAAGTCCAACCTTGAAACTACCAGAGTGGTCGAACCTACTCGTCCATCCACACACCAAGCACGCATCAAGAGATGGAGTTGCAATAGATAACTAATGGAATATTAGTATATCTAAAATCCACATGAAAATGTCAGGAGAAGTTTCTGAAGAAATCTGACAAGTTGTTGTCCCCCCAGACTCATCAGAGAGAAGTTGAAAGAACAGAATCTTCAACAGTGCCGTCATAAGTTCCCAAGGGGGGTAATACAGGACGTAAATCTACAACCAGTGAATCCAGAACGTGGCCTGACCCACCACCATTTCCGACGGATTCTGCAAGCATAATTAGCATGAGTCAGGATAAGGAAAAATATGTAATTTTCTAACTAAAATTGATATTTTATACTTATCCTGACTCATGAGGTTAGCCCTCCCAACCTCCCCTCTTATGGCACTCTGGATTTCCCTGTAAATCCAGGTGTCTGGCTTACATACGGAGAGAGTGACAAATATGGCCGATCATGTGACCATTTGGGCCCCAAAAGGGAGGAAAGGGACGCTACTCGTGGGTGAGTGATTTTACGTCCGCTTTTTTAGAAGGGAACTTCAAGGGATTTCAAGTGTTCCACTATCATTCGCAAGAGGAAGGAGACAAGCATAATTAGCATGAGTCAGGATAAGTATAAAATATCAATTTTAGTCTGAAAATTACATGTTTTTAGATAGTTTGGATTACTGATAATTTTTTCACCAATTTTGAAGAAAATGTGGTATGTGGTCTGTGATACAAAAAACAGAAAAAATCCCAAATTTCACGTACATGGTTTCTTTGAAACAAGACTTAGTATTCATGACTTTGGCTGTTCAGTATGTTCATAAGCTTTTATCATGCCTATGTGATGATTGGAGTTAAATATACGTAAAATCTTCATCATGGCTAAATGCATTGTGTTAACTTCGTGTTATTTTCTCAAACCAGTTGAAGATGAGAGCTGGTGGGGTGGACCCAACACGGATGTCAAAAAGGAAACGTTCTCCAAAACCTCGCCCCAAACGATCTCACACCAACACGCAGCAACCCACAGACAGTCCCCAGGGTCATGCCTCTATAGCAGAGGGTGTGGAGGAGCCAGTAGAACAGCCAGAGGTTATGGATACCTCATCCTTTGAACATATAACGACAGACAGAATCATTGCCACAACACCTGTAGCACCCAATGGAGAAGGGGTTATTGATATTACTAGGAGTTTTGAGGTAAGTCCTCAAATATGTAGGATCTATTTATGCTTTATTATCTTCAGATATTATGGTAAGACAGTTTTCATATCGACCCAAGACCCACATGTCAGACAGAGAAGGTAAAGCCACTAAAAGACATTCAGACAGACATTCAGACAAAATTCCAGTTTCTGATCTACCTGGCTGATATCAGTCACCTACTGATAGACTGTTGACAAGCCATATCAGCTCAGCAGGGGTGAAGTGCAGGTTTGTTTTTCACTAGCATTGGTTACATCGCACATGCAAATGCCTCATTTATATCATTGATAGGTGTATGGTTAACCAGAGTATTGCTCATATATGATCAACATCACATACTGAATCCAGATTGGTTATCCAGGGAAACATTCACAACAGGTTAGGACAGTTTGCTTGATCATGTTAATGGCAAACATACTTCAGGATTGATAGAATTTTCAAGGTGCTCTTGTATGTGTCATCACAGTGTATGCATTAATAGTTTCCATGCCCTGCAACCTTGTTTTGTGATTATGTAATTTGGGAGAATGGCATTCTCTTCTGTCTCTTCCCATGCCTACCTCAACCAGATGCTTCATTTGCTGGCAATTTTACTATGTTTAGAAATCAGTAAATATTTTGATTGCTCGTCCATGAAGGAAAATCTCAAAAGAGTTTGCTTCACATGTTCCTATTAGATATGAGACCAAAGTGTCTCCTTATGTCTTATCACAATAATGATTGTATATCACTTGTTTACTGTCATCTATGTCTGTCTAGGCTGCGTCCAAGGCTGAGGAATCCCAACAACATACTACACAGACAACAGTTGTAGAAGCCCCAGAACAACTTCCAGCAGACCAGTCTGCAAGGGACCGTCCATCAGACGAAGCGCCCGAGAACAAGGCACCAGAGGACAAAGCATACAGGCTCCCTGCAGTAACACTTACATTGCCAGAAGATGGTTACCACCTAAAGGTACCGGCTGATTGCATGTCTGTATTTTGTTTTTGTTGGACAGGCAACTGAGTAGTTTCAGATCCCATAAGGTTGTCCCCCTTTGCTGTGTCAGGTTGTGGTTGTGGGTCTCAATAAGTTCATCCAGATTAGCATCTTGGCTTGACATCCCCCCTTGTCAGTTTAAGCTGACCTGTTCAGATAGAACTGAAATACTGTTTAAATCAGAATTTAACTGGATTCACTTTTCTCATTCAGTGGTTCTTTGTGCTATTATTTATGAAAAGAAACGTATCAGGCAATGAATTTGAACAATTTTAGAAGTAAACATGAGATTTGTGGGTGTTATTTATTTGACAAAACCCAAGGCATTCATATGCAGATTACATCTGCCATATTACAGTGTGGTTTTTTAAACAGAATACAGCATGCTCATGTCATTTACAATGTCTGGATATTTCTGACAATATTGATGGTATTGAAAATCACAAATGTCTGCTTAGTGCACATTTCTATGACTAGGGTAACTATTCTTGTATCTAAGGAGTTTACAGAGAAGGAGGAAACAGAAGCAGAATGTTGTGACAATTATGAGAATTAACATACCATTATGACTGGAGAAATGTTCATGGGCCTGTTCCACAAAATGATCTTAGTGATAGGTTACTCGTAATTCCCATACTTTACCCGGGTCGGTTGGGTAGCCTAGTGGTTTGAGTGTTTGCTCGTCGCTCCGAAGACCCAGGTTAGCTATTCTCGAAACGTTCATAGCCCTACAAACTTCTTAAACCCTTTCTTAACACATTGGCTACAATCAATGTTAAGAATTCTTAGGGCTACAAACGTTTGGAGAATAAGGGCCCTGGTTCTATTCCCCACATGGGTACAATGTATGAAGCCCATTTCTGGTGTCCTCTGCCGTGATATTGCTGGAATATTGCAAACAGCGGTGTAAAACTAAACTCACTCACTCATACTTTACCCTAAGCTTACGATCATCGTAGCATTAAGGTTGCTTTGTGGGCCCAATCTTTTAGTTACGTACTTGTTTGGCAGAAATCAGCGAGTGACTCTGAGCTGTACTCTGAAGGCGGGGATGACACAGAATCTATAAACTCCACAGCAGACTCAGTGGACACATCCTCGGTCCAAGACAGCGAGTTCATCAATCCTCGGGGTGTCCGCTTCACTCAGCATCACTATATGAAGAAGGTCAGTAACAATCTTGTAACACTTGCAACCTGATCTTTCAACACTCTTCAAGCTGTTTATGATTATCATGTCCTGTCAGTACTAGACTAACAGCTAGTCTCTGAAATGAACATATTATATAGAGAAAAATGTTTTTAAATTAAAATAAAATACAATGAAAGGGAGCCCAGAGACTCTTCATCCCTGAAACTGTGGTCATCTAGACTTGCCACACATCCTAAACTTGCATGGGTTGTATTGGGTATATTTGTTTCAGGGTCTTTATGACAGACTATGTCACCACATGAACTCTCTCTCAGCAAAATAGAGTACAATGAGAACTATTAAGCTTCAGATTGCTTTGTTACTTTATTCTGGGTTAGAATATAGGTCCCCAGCAACCATGGCTACATGTACAGTAAACAGGTAATAAATGATGACGAAGTGTGGTCAGTCTTGGTATCTGGGTTGATTGCATATCAATGACCCCAGAAGCAATATATTAATATTTCAATCACTGAATTGTATCATCCAGAATGGATTATTTACCTGGCCATGTGGCATGATGTTGCAGCATCATTTCACCTGACCTCCACTCACCTCATCTTGCCAATACTAGCCACAACATTTTTAACTCCAGAACACTTTCATCTCATCTCCTTCAGGTTCTGGCCCTCTCATTCCCTATGGTCTGCCCTGTGTTCGAGAACTGTTCCGATTTCTTGTGTCTCTCACCAACCCCATTGACCGCCACAACACTGACGTCATGATCCACATGGGCCTCAGCTTGGCAACTGTGGCACTGGAGGCTGGTGCAGACCACATCAGTTCATTCAACTCTCTCTTGTATCTCGTCAAGGATGAGATGTGCAGGAATCTCTTCATGGTCAGTAGATCAGCTTTATGTATTAAATATATCATGTTTTCTGCCCTAAATTCTAAATTTCAGAATTTAGAATGACAAAGCCTATCCAGGTTTCAAGTAAAATAACAAATTCTTCCCAATTTGCCTGCCAGAGTCACTTTGTTTAGAATCCTGGAAAAATCACTTGACTGCCTGGGCAAGTCACATTGGGAGGCTCCTTAAATAGAATTATTTCATTCTTGAAAAAAGTTGTTTTTATATTTCTTATTAATTAGGCAAATACTAACTCCTGTTGTTTGTGTATCAGCTCCTGCAGGCCGAGAGGCTGTCCCTGTTTGCTGCGTCTCTCCGAGTCTGTTTCCTGCTGTTTGAGTCCATGCGCTCACACCTCAAGTTCCAGCTGGAGGTACGTCCTAGCCTGGTAGTCATGCAGCGACTGGGGGTATACTTACAGTAGCCATAACATTACTTCATGTGTTTGAATAATTTTATATCAGGTACATATCATGTAATTTGCTATGAAGCCCATGTGATAGGGAGTGGTCAGAATGTCATTCTTTCTGCGTATTTCAACCAAGCTGGTTCATCAGTGTGAAAGGTTATTTAGCAGATTTTTAGTTAATCCAAAGAAGAACAAACCAGTAGAACAAGTCCAGTCAAGACAATTCTTGAAATAAGGACCTCAAATAACTCTGCATCTCTGCATAAAATATCCAAGTTAAATTATTAAACCTGAATTAAATGAACTTGTAAGAACACTGTTTTGAGAACTTGATGTTTTGTGTTTATGCATGTTTTCCATTTTTTGCAGATGTTCCTGACAAAATTGAGTGAAATTATTGTTTCCGAATCACCCAAATTGTCGTACGAAGTTCGTGAGATTGCCCTGGAGTCTGTGGTCCAACTGTGGAGGATCCCTGGCCTCGTCACAGAACTCTATCTCAACTATGACTGTGACCTGTACTGCTCCAACCTCTTTGAAGAACTCACCAAGCTCCTTTCAAAGGTCAGTCGGAAAGAAATGGTTGAGAATTCTTTCAACATCTGGACTTGTATCGTTGTAATGTATCTCAGCAACTTTCACCATTTGGATTGTGTGTATGAAAACGTGAAACAAGATAAAAGACAAATTGGAGAAGAAATATCTAATTTCCAGATTTATATTGTGACTTATGAATAAATAACAAAGAAGTTTTAACGTTGTATTTTACTGAAATATAACTGATTTGAGTGTTTTTTAAACTTTATTGGAAGTATTGCTTTCTCTAATTGGGAAAATATGCAGGTGATAACAAATCTGTTCAGTGTCATAAGTTTTGAACCTAACAACTCCATGGTTTGTCTTGTCCAGAATGCATTTCCAGTGTCAGGGCTGTTCACCACACACCTGCTGTCTCTGGACGCTCTCCTGACCGTAGTGGACAGCATTGAGCAGCACTGCCACAGTCGCATCCTCACCTCTACCAAAACAGCCAGCAGCAGCATCGACACTGACCCCAAGCAGCAAGACACAGCAGCTAGCCAGGCTGAAGGTAAACATGCTGGGCAGATCAGCACATTTCCCACAGACTGGCGAACCTGACTCCTTCCTTCTTATTCACCATATACTGATGGATGAAATACATGGATTGTATTTTTAGACAAATAATGATTCTGAATCATGTTATAAAGACTCTGTATTGGGTTGGTTACACCACAGAAGTAGAAAGGCAGAGGTAATTTGCTCTTAGTTTATGTTTGTGTAAGAAGACATGGCTATATTTTAGGAGCTACAACTCACTGTTCAGAGTTGCCTCCCTGGACAAAGCCTGGTAATTGGTTCTTGGCTTATGTTTGTGTAAGAAGACATGGCTATATTTTAGGAGCTACTACTCACTGTTCAGAGTTGCCTCCCTTGGACGAGCCTGGTAATTGGTTCTTGGCTGATGTTTGTGTAAGAAGACATGGCTATATTTTAGGAGCTACTACTCACTGTTCAGAGTTGCCTCCCTTGGACAAGCCTGAAACCTGTGATTTTGGGTTGGAAATGTACACACTGATTATGTTTCTAAGGTTGTAGGCATCATACGGTAATCACAATTTTCACGAAATTGGTAAACATTTTCATCTGCATGGACTCGTGTCACTTCAAGCTTTCTTCCTACATTAAGGTGAGAGCAGTGATTATAACGGGAATGGCTTTTAATGCATCGCTCACTAAACCCAGCTCACTCGCTCACTTGTGTTTCACATGATTATTTTAATGATAAATCTTGTGTTCAGGAAGTGACCAGTCTTCTGGTTCAGTGGAGGCTGATGTGGGTGGGGAGAGCAAACTTGTCGGACCCCCCACCACAGGGTATGGCATGGCACAGCACATCATAAAGGGAAGTCTCACAGGTAAACCAGGGACAAATTTGTGCTGCTTGCTTGCGAATAATAATTGTTGTCATAATGTGTATTCGGTGGTGGCGGGGTAGTCTAGCGGTTAAAGCATTCACATGTCACCTTGATGGCCCGGTTTTGTTTACCCACAGATACATTGTGGAAACAAATTCTGTTGATCTGTGCATTGAAGTTGCTGGAATATTGCGAAAATATGGCATCAAATCACATTCACTGGACACGAGGCTGACAAGCTACAATAAGAGAGGAATACCTATAAAGCACTGCCTGCAGCTATGTATTGATTACTGATAATGTACGTCAGGTGGTGATGCCTCCAAGACTTCAAAGACAAAGGAACCCAAGCGAGGACCACATATCAAACCCAACAGGATGAAGATTACATCCAAAATACCCTCACTTGAAGAACTGGCTGCTATCAAGCACAAGAAAAAGGTCTGTGTCATTCAAATGAACTTGCTTGATAATCAAATAATATTTGGTAAAGTCTATTTAGTGATTTGTTAGTATGGTATGTAAAGGGGTGGGGCAGTTCACATGATTGCTAATTCAAAGAATGATAGGTTGAATGGAGATAATTGATCAGGTGCCCTGGTTTAGAGTCTGTGCCCAAAATGTGAAAGGCTGTGGAGTAGCTGAGTGGCTAAAGCTTTTGCTCGTCACACCAAAGGCCCAAGTTAGTTTCTAAGGGTACAACATGTGCAGTCATTTCTGTAGTCCTTCACTTCATTGCCTGGTCACGACTTGATAATTTACTGACCTCCCTCATATAGCTGGAATATCACCGATGTGGTGTGAAACAATAAAAACATAATTACATACGGAAGTACTTTTTTCACAGGAAGACATTTTGAATATGTTTAGGACAGTTGTCCTTAGGATTTCTGTTTGTTGTAATGTAAATGTTTTGTCAATGTTTTCCATGACAGTTGTACCAGACAGGGACGGAGCTGTTCAACATGAAGCCATCTAAAGGCATCCTGTTCCTCCAGGAGCAAGGCCTGCTAGACTCACCCCTCGACCCAGGACAGGTCGTCATGCTGTTCAAGGAAAACCCGAAGATGGACAAGAAGATGATTGGAGAATATGTCAGTAATAAGAAAAATAACAAAGTGCTTGAAGCATTTGTCAAGTAAGTTATTGCTGATTTCTGTAAATATGTTCTTGATATGTTTTGTTCTTTAATACACAGAGGTGCATAGATGCTTCTACTGATATTTGTCAACATTTGACATTGGAAGATGATTTGAAAATTAATGTCCAAATAATCCCTTACACTGAAAAAAGATCACTGATTTCCAAGGTTATTTTTATGAATCTTGTAAACCTGATCCAAGGATTTGACTATGTTTTGATTTTCCATGAAGTGAGACAACACATCTTAACATGCTAAACATGCTTACTATTTGGCAGTAATGAACTATTGTGGTTGTCTAGGTTTCATACCAGTATCAATGAAGGTGTAGAAAATGGAGTTGTCTGCCCTTGACAACAGTGACAATCATGTTTCAGATCCTTCAACTTTGAAGATATCCGAATAGATGAGGCACTGAGGATGTACCTGGAAGCATTCCGCCTCCCTGGTGAAGCCCCAGTCATCTCCTACTTGATGGAGCACTTTGCAGACCACTGGCATGTGAGTTGAGACAGAACCTAACTACATGAACCTACAAACATGAATCTATAAACAGAAACATCACCAAAGTGACACAGTGTCAAATCCCAGCATGTCAACCTCTTCCTTGGTTAAATAGCATACTGGAAATGATGTCATAGAGTCAGTGAAGTAACTGGGATGATTGCCTGTTTTGAATACCCGAAGAATGAAACAACAGATACCAAGTTCTCTTTCAAACAGGTTGATTGGCCACTGGTGGCCCGGTCAGGGCAGAGTTGTGCCCCTTGGCCCTGAATTGAAGGACATTAATTTAGGTTTATGTTCTTCAGTGGGGTGAAACTACCTTAACATGGGTGCTGTTACACCCCTGTGTTTCATTACTACCAAAATGTATTAAGATATATTCCTAAGCCTGAAATGTAAGAATTGCTTTGTTCACTTTTAGAAAACCAATGGAGAGCCGTTTGTCAACAACGATGCAGCCTTTACACTGGCCTATGCTGTGATAATGCTGAATGTGGACCAGCACAACCATAATGTCAAGAAGCAGAACATACCCATGACAGTGGAGGTATGTATATGTAGCAAGCTGAACTTCTATGTAACAGTAATTGTATGTATGTGTGTATGTAGGTAGCTGAAATTGGAATACATGAAACACATAAGAAAAAAATGATGCCTTAATCTGCGTATCCATAAATCCTGGTTGTGAGTTTGGATCATAAGAAAAAAATGATGCCTTAATCTGCGTATCCATAAATCCTGGTTGTGAGTTTGGATCATAAGAAAAAAATGATGCCTTAATCTGCATATCCATAAATCCTGGTTGTGAGTTTGGATCATAAGAAAAAAATAATGCCCTAATCTGCTTATCCATAAATCCTGGTTGTGAGTTCGGATCGTCTTCCGTAGAAGTTCAGACTTGGCAACTCGGCCTGTTTTATCAGGACAAAATAATAGAATTAAAGCCCTCAAATGCTTCAGCATTTGAATTTTAGTTGTTAATTTAAAATAGTCAAAGACTACTGGGTCCTGTAACTTGGGCTTACACTGTATAATAGTGCGGAAATAGTGACGTTTGATGTCAAGTATTTTTCTATCATTTCAGCAATTTAAGAGGAATGTGTCCAAAACAAATGGCGGTCAAGATTTTGAGTCTGATATGCTGTGTGAAATATATGCAGCCATCAAGTAAGTGAACCAAACCCATGTGTCTTGAAATATAGTACTAGTCTGCCTATGTTATTGTCATCACGGAAGCATGAAAGCATGTGGTTCCAATTATTCAAAAGAAATGACGCTGTTGTAACGCGGTATCTGTTGCGTGAAATAGTTGTCATACAGTTCTCTTTTGGGGGTGGTGGGGTAGCCTAGTGGTTAAAGCGTTCGCTCACCACGTCGAAGACCCGGGTTCAATTCCCCACATGGGTACAATGTGTGAAGCCCATTTCTGGTGTCCCTCCGCCGCGATATTGCTGGAATATTGCTAAAAGCGGCGTAAAACCATGCTCACTCACTCACTCACTCACTCAGTGCTCTTGCTTGATTATAAATCTATTACTTTGTTCTGAGAATGTGATATGCAGTGACAATCATGTTTCAGGTCTGATGAGATTGTAATGCCTGCAGAACACACAGGTCTAGTCAAGGAGAATTACATGTGGAAGGTGAGAGCTTTGTGCTATATATCTGAGCCACTATTCATATATTTGTTCATGGTCGAAGATGTCACTATGGCTAAAGAGAAATAATCCCCTCGCTTTTGTTTTTTTAAAATATTTCCATATTCTGACACCAGAATTGATGGAGGGAGATAACTCTTTCGACCATCCTAAACAAATATTTCCTAATGTGTGTTGGTATTGTATATATAAGTGTGAGTGGGGGGGCATGGCATCACTGAACAAATATTGACAGTTAAGAATGACCCCCCTTTGATGAACACTACTAAACCTTTCCCAACCTTATGGTGCATGTCTCTTTCAGGTTCTGCTGCGTCGAGGTTCAACCAAAGAAGGGGTATTCCGCCATTCCCCAACAGGAGCATTCGACCACGAGTTGTTTTCTCTCATTTGGGGGCCCACAGTTGCTGCTCTGTCATTTGTCTTTGACAAGAGCACTGACGAGTCTATCATACAGAAAGCAATATCAGGTTTCAGGTCAGTTGAATTTTCTCATGATTTTCCTGTTTTCTAATCATTACAATGCAGTTGTCTTTAACATAGAAAAAGCTATAGCAAAATATTTTTAAATGTGATTTAAATGTTGTTGTACCTCTGTTTCAGGAAATGTGCAATGATCTCCGCTCACTACGGCATGAGTGATGTGTTCGACAACCTTGTGATATCCCTGTGTAAATTCACTACACTACTCAGCTCGATTGACGTACGTCCTTGACCTTATCGCTATTTTCATATGGCATGTAGATTCTACTGAAGAAAAGAAAAGACCACCCAGATGTTTTTCATTTTGGTGCGACAGAGTAACTGTGGGCTTAAGATGTCAGATGGTCCTCTACATATTTTTAGTAGTATATTTTCCAAAGCTATAAGTATCCCAGTGATATTTGTCAGAGGTGACTAAAATGGTTCTATATGGAATCTCTGCAAGTTCCGTGTGATTGATTGTACAAATTTTGAACGCACATGCTTCATAGTTGATATTCATAGTTATCACATCATGTATTTTGAGTTATGATGGTAAGACAACTACACATTTGACTAATTCTTCATTGTATTTACCAGGCCCCCGAAAACATTCCAGTTACATTTGGCGTCAACTTCAAGGCTCAGCTAGCTGGCCGCACTGTATTCGGGTTGGCACACAGACATGGGGATATACTGAGAGAAGGCTGGAAGAACATCCTGGACTGTATGCTGCAACTGTTCAGAGCCAAACTCCTGCCAAAAGCCATGATAGAGGTCAGTCACAGTAATCATCAAGATATTGCTCATTCAATCATTGAAGTGGAGCAATAGCAGTAAATATGCCTCCAGTTTGAACATTTGTATTGGGCATGCACTGACTTTTATGTAAAATTGAACAGAGTTGATTAGTGATGTATTGATTTGAGTGTATTTGTTTTGTCTTGAAGGTTGAAGACTTTGCAGATGCAAGTGGGAAAATTTCCATTGTAAGAGAAGACAATACAGCAAACCAAAGGTACTAAAATATGTTTTATTATTGTTTAAAATGTAATTTAATCGTTAATATTTAGAGAAATTCAAAATTAAGAATTGTTTATTGGTTACAAACATAAACATTAACATTCATCACGACTGGTAGCAAATTGTCTCTCACTGGTGTCTCCCAACTTCAGATCTGATTCGGGAGTGCTGAGCAGCTTCTACTCCTACTTCTCCCTATCGGAGTCGTCCAATCAAAAGGGACCATCACTAGAAGACCAGGAGTCCATCAAACAGGCTCAGAGCTGCATCCGTGACTGTCACCTTGACCAGCTCATCATTGACAGCAAGTTCCTCAGAGAAGATTCACTTCAGGAACTGGTTAAGGTGAGTGTGGGATATTGCTCAAATTGCATCAAGCAAGTCAGCAAGACTGATATGCCTATCCCATCAGTCACCTCTTCCAAAAAGCATCGTTTGATCAGGACCAGTTCTGAAATGATCTTCACTAGTTCAACTTGTATGTAGCAACTGTAGGATATATGGTTTGATAGGAAGGCAAAGAACAGCTCTTTGAAGTTACTTTGTTATAAAGATAATTCTTTTTCAGAGAGATCGTCCTTGGGGTACATATTATGCATTTTCCGGCTGAAAAATGTCCTGTGACAGTTGTATCAATGTTTTTTGAATAAAAAGATTGAACAATAAATAAACTCTTTTATTTATTATACGGCCCCTACCTCACGGAGTTACCTCCCGTTACGCATGCGCACCAACTGGGTAGGCTCCTAGACCTGTATCATCATTCCTTCTGCTGTCACTGCCATGAACAGGCGTTACATGAGCCGTTACAGTGTTGATAGAGCTGAGCTTTCTGAGAAAGCGACTATGTCTGAGACACCACCTGTATGTATGGTCTTTATTTGCCTATGAAAAGGAACAGTAAAGCTTTACAGTTGGTTGTTTCATAATTGTGACTTTGTATTAATTATATTACGCGAACTTTCCGTGGTTTTACGCCGCGTGTTGCTCTGCCATGGCGGGAAGTTTAGCGTGCCATGTGGTCGTAATATTGCGTATTGAACCAACTATTACTTTCCGTGGTAGCCTTCACGTATTTTTCAATGTTTTCTACGTGTATATATGCTGCTGGTCCGCCGTTAGCTACATGCTTGCGTGTTTGCTTTCAGGCCTTTTCATCCTGTTAGGTCTGTGGACAGAGCATTCCACGGGCCGACAGGCATGACCAATCGTCGCCTGTCTAGAAAAGACTGGCCATGGCGGAAGCATGTCCGATATGTCTTGGGTTTTCCCCGGGCCCAAAAGAGGAGGGCGGCGGACACGCTGTTTTACAGAGAGATCGCGTGGCGGGTGGGGAACTGGCGCAGGTCCCCGTCTAAGTCTAAGAAACAGTCACGTAAGGGAAAAAAATCCCGAAGCCAAACCCCCTCTCCCGCTAGTACAAGTGGTGGATTTGACATGTCACTAATGGACAAATTGTTTCAGCAGCATATGGACTCTGTGAAGTCCCTCGTTCGTGAGTCTGTTGGAGGTCTCCGCCAGGAGTTCCTCGCTCACTCCGGACGGGGGGCGGAGAGTCAGGGGGTGGGATCGCCGGGCTCGGCTCGATCCCTCAGCCTTGAGGCGTCTGTAGACCCGTTGCCTCTGGCTTCGGGTCCGGGCGCCCTCGGCTGCCCGGAGGAGAGTGCTCCCAGTCCCCTCGGAGTTGGCGCAGGGACCGTTGAGTATTCCTGGTATTCCGATCCCTCGCCTCCCGCCCCATGAGGCGGAGGCACCAGTTCTGCCTGGTCTGCCTCCAGCGTCTCGGGACGAGGTCGTGTGCAGCTTCCAGGCGCCCGGCGTGGAGCACTCTGTCTGCTCTTCCCTCTCTGTGCTTCCCTAGTGCTAGGCATACCACGGGTCGGGGTTAGGGTCCTCTTTCAGAGGAGACCCAGCCTCAGACTTCGGGCTCGGGCGCCCGAGTCAATGGAGCTTGGGGAGGTAGAGGAGCATGGCGGTGGTTTCCGTTTTGCCCGGCTCTGCGGGAGGTCCGGCAAAAGAATTGCGAGGGCCTACCCCAGCAGCGGTGCCTGTTGGCAGCTTCGGACTTCGGCTGAGTTCCGCTTGCCAGGCGGGCGTTTGCCCCTCGGCAGCCCTGCGCAGAGCGCAGCTCCGCATTCTGCCTTCGTTGGTCCAGGGCGTGGTTGATCCCCTCTTGTCTGGTACCCGTGCCGGTTCGACTTGCGGTTGAAATGCGGAGATACCAACTTGGGGAGGACTCCCTGTTCGTGGTTCCCATCGTTGGCGAGTGCGTGTTCACTTCCGTAAGCCCTGGGGAGGCTCGGCTTCCTCGGAGCAGCTCCGGCTGCTTTCGGCAAGGCGCCTCATTCCACCGTTTGCCCTCGCGGGCGCCCCTGAGGCACGCGCGTGCGGACCTCGAGGAGGTCTACGGGCAGCGATGCAGCAGGTCAGGGTGGTGGTCCATGAGGCCTACCTCTCCTCGATTCAGAGGTCGGCCCTGGAGGCAGAGGGCATGCTGGCGGCGTTTACGCGCGCGCCGTGCTGCTCCGTCAGCTCGGAAGTTCAGGCACACCTGCAGCGACTCTTTTGCGGTCTGCTGCGTCGGCGGTGATGTCGCGCCAGTCATGGGGATGCGCAGGCTGTGGCTGTCGGCGTCACTCGGTGCTCGGCAGCGGCGCGGCAGACCTTGCTGGCCCTCCCTTTCCGTCTGGGGCAACCCTCTTTCCAGGGGCCCAGCAGGTCATTCGGGGAGGCTGCGCTGCAGCTACCTCCTTCAAGGACTCTAAGGCCTTGTTGGAGCACCAGCGGGTGTGTCGCCCCAGCTCCCGTTCCACCTTCCTCCGCCCGGGGTGCAGCCTACACCCGAGTCTGCCGGCTGGCTTTGGCGCTTGGTAGGGGTAGGCGGCGGAGGAGCAGGTCCGCCAAGGGTAGGGGCAAGGAGCAGTCCTCGACTAGCTCCCAGCCTTTTCGCGGGCGCGGGAGGTCTGCCCCGACCTCCCGTTAACCCATCAGGCTGCCGCTCAAGCCGTGTGTCACACCCAGTCAGCTCCGCTACTTTCGGGACAACGCACGCGCTCCTACCCCATATCCCAGTGGGAGGCCGCCTCTCTCTATTCCTGCCGGAATGGGAGAAGGCTACCAACAATGCTTGGGTGCTGGCCACGGTCAGCATAGGCCATTTACCACTGTGGAAGCGAGGTCCGCCCGACTTCACCGGCACGGACGCATCCGCGCGGTCAAGTTCAGGCTCTGCTGGACAAGTCCGGCAATCTGGACAAGCCTTGCATTCCACCGGGAGAGGAACAGGCGGGATTTTACTCCACGTACTTCCTCGTCCCGAAGAAAGACGGCGGGTTCCGTCCCATTCTCAACCTCAAGGGGTTGAATCGCATGCTAGAAGTACCATCCTTCAAGATGGAGACACTGCGCTCGGTGATCTCATCTGTTCAGCCCGGCGATTGGCTCCGTCAATCGACCTAAAAGGATCGCGTATCTGCATGTGCCCATACATCCATCGTTCAAGCAGTACCTTCCGGTTCTCTTCTGGCGGGATGTGTTACCAATTCAGGGTGCTCCCCTTGACGGCATATCGACTGCCCCAAGGGTGTTCACCAAGCTCATGTTAGTCCCAGCTACCCTAGCTTCGTTTCGCAAGGAAGGCGTTGTCACCCTTACCTCGGCGACTGGTTGCTCGGAGCACTAACACAGCCAGCGAGTCTAGATGCTACTCACACAGTGATAGACATTCTAACTTCGACTGGGGTGGATCATCAACCTCAAGAAATCCGACCTGGTACCCACCCAGGACTTGGTTTTCTTGGAGGCGATTCAAACAAACAAGGATCTCGTTTCCTTGTCGCCCGACCGGATCACCAGAGTTCGGGAGATGGTATCTTCGTTCCTCTCCCAGCCCCAGGCACCAGCGCGGACTTGGCTCCGTCTACTGGGCCATATGGCGGCGGCGATCTCTGTAGTGTGGCGAGCGCGGTTTGAGGATCGTCCTATACAGCAAGCTTTGGCTCGGCTGTGGACTCACCGGAGGATCTGGGCGCGCAGTCTCACAGTCCCAGTGGTTGACACCTCACCTTCAGTGGTGGACAAATGTCGGGAATCTCACCAGGGGATCCCTTGGAAATCCCGCGCCAGCTCTCACAGTTCAGACCCGATCGTCCCTCACGGGCTGGGGGTGTTCTGGGCAGTCTGTCGGCGTCCGGACTCTGGTCGAAGCGAAGCCCACCTTCACATCAGCGTGTTGGAACTGAGAGCTGTCGCGGTTGGTATTCGGCGGCTTCAGAGAGCATGTCCGTGGCCAGGTAGTCCGTCTTCAGTTGGACAACCAGGCTGACCATGTCGTACATCCTGAAGCAGGGAGGCCGCGGTGTCCCCAGCTCCTCCGGGAGGCGTGGGACTTTCTCCTCTGGTGCGATCAGTGCGACTGTCAGGTACTCCCTGTTTATCTCCCGGGGCTGGAGAGCGTCGCGAGCAGATCGCGCTCTCGCCCGGATCCTGGCCCTTGCGCAGTGGATGCTTTCGACAGGCAGATTTTCAGAGTAATCTCCCAGTTGTGCGGGTGCGTTCCCAGGTGGATCTGTTTGCGTCGGCGGGGCATCAGACACCCGTGTTCTGCTCGGATACGGACCCAGAGGCGTTGGCTGCCGGCGCCTTCCTGCTGGATTGGGCGGGCAAAGTGCTCTGGGCGTTCCCCGTTACCACTCATTCCCGTGTCCTTTCACAGCTGTCCACCCAGCCAGCTCGGCTACTTGTGCTACTGGCACCGCTTTGGCCGTCACAGAGCTGGTTTCGGTAATTCTCAGGTTTCTGGCTCAGCCTCCTGTTCTATTACCTTTCTGACCCGGACATTCTCACTCAGAGCGGGCGCCCACCCAAATCCAAGGATTCAGTGGGTGGCTTGGCCTCTGTCAGGTCTAACCTCGAGGCCGCAGAATTCCTGCAGCAGTTGCAGACACAATTCTGGCCGGTGGGGATTAGACAAGCGTTCAGTACGAGGATAGGTGGTCCCGCTATGTGCGCTGGTGTTCAGATAGGGGCATTGCAGATCCCTTTTCTGCAGTTTAGTCCGGTATTGGAGTTTTGCAAGCTCGTTTGGAAGAAGGCCTGGCGGCCGACCATTAAATGGCTACTCCACGCTATTTCCACTTTTCACACCCCTGTCGATGGTGCTCTTCTGGGGCAGCACCCTCTCGTCTGGCGCTTTCTTGCTGGCGGAGCGGATTCAACCTGCGCTCAGGCGAACCAGTCCACCTTGGGATTTGTCAATTGTGCTAGATTGGCTGTCGGTCCAACTTTCTCACACCTATCGGCTATTTCCATTCAGTTGTTAACTTGGAAAGCTGTTTTCTGGTGGCGGTAACATCTGGGCGTAGAATTCGGCGATTTACATGCTATGTCGTCCGACCGAGCTGACTGTGTTTCACGGATCGTGTCAGTATTAGCCTCCCAGATACTTACCGACCGAAGAAGATCGATCACGCTTTCCATGTGACAGCTCCTATCGAACTTCCTACTCTTACCCAGCCTTCCACATCGGGGACCACTCCTCTGAGCACTCACCCGTTGGATGTCCGTAAGACGCTCAAAGTCTATATCAAAGCGAGCGCGGGGAATCCGTGCGGGTACCCAGCTGTTCTGTTGTTCTGGTGGCGGGAAGGCTGGTGTGCCAGCGAGCAAGCAGACTTTGTCTCGCTGGCTAGTTTCGTGTATTTGTGCGGCTTATCAGGCTAAGGGCAAGCCTCCCCTGAGGGGTTGAAGGCTCACTCGGTCAGGGCAGTAGCGCATCAAAAGCTTTTGCATCGGCACTCCCCATTGAAGAGATCTGCTCTGCGGCTATTTGGAGCCGGCCAAGCTGCGTTTATCACGGCACTATCAGCTCGATCGCATTCCCGTGTCGTCGATGCGAGCTTTGGCCGTTCTGTTCTCTCCAGTGGACAGTGTCCTGCCATCCCTGACCGAGTGAGTCTTGGTTTATTGGTTTGTTTTGGCGGCTGCTGTACAATAATTGTGTATTATTGACATATCTGCTACTGTGAGCTAACTACATGTACCCCTTCGATTCTCTCAGGAGTTATTTGTCGATTGTGAGCGGTATTTACATTCCCCTCACGGTGCTCACTAATAGACACATGGTGGGTGGGGCTTTGTTGACATTCGCACCACGTGCGTTGTCTCACTATGCTAAATGGAGGTCGTCTTTGAGCACATTCCTCCCTGTCAGTTCCCCTCCCAGCATGCCTCTCGCGGAAGCGAAACTGGGTCAAGTGACAGGTGAGTGTTATGGCGTCTGTTCAATTTTTTTCCATGATACATTCGCTATATTTGTGTGTGCTTGGACAGAATTCCCTCCTCCCTGGCCTCCGGTCTTTGGGAGTCTGTGTTTATGCATAATATGTACCCCAATGGCGATCTCTCTGAAAAGAATTAACCAAACCTGAAGGGTTTTCAATTCTTTGAAGAGAGTAGATCCTTGAGAGGTAGACCTCCATACCTCCCGCAATTCTGTTCACTGATTTATTCAGCAGAAGGAATGATGATCACGGGTCTAGGAGCCTACCCAGTTGGTGCGCATGCGCAACGGGAGGTAACTCCGTGAGGTAGGGGCCGTATAATAAATAAAAGAGTTTATTTATTGTTCAATCTTTTTATTCAAAAAACATTGATACAACTGTCACAGGACATTTTTCAGCCGGAAAATGCATAATATGTACCCCAAGGACGACTCTCTTCAAAGAATTGAAAACCTCTTCAGGTTTGGTTAAATTGTAGTTTCATCTGTTTCCCTTTCTTTGATGTAGTGTTTGGTCCATAAATTTTGTGAAAACCCATTCATTCTTTCAGTGATCTCTGCACATATAGATTTACATTGATGTTACAAGTAATACCGACAATATGATTATCCTCAACACTATACATTTATGTGTGATTCAGGCACTGATCGTGGCATGTCAGGGCTCTGAGGATGGCTCCACAATGGGGCTCCAGTATGATGAAGATGCAGCAGTGTTTTTCCTGGAGCTGCTCATTAAGGTGGTGCTACAGAACAGGTATGTACTTGACTGATATATTGCAGAAGTACTTGTATAGAGAACAGGTACTACTTGCCTTATGTGTCATGCTGCAGAACAGTTACTGGTCTGATATGCTGCAGAACAGGTACTTCTCTCATATGCTGCAGAACAGATACATGTCTGCAGTGATACGCTGCACAATAGATACATGTCTGAGATCAAGTGAGGTGAAATTGGGTTTAACGTCGTGCTTGAGAATATTTCGCTCATATGACGACGTGCATGCATGTGTATGTGTATGTGCGGCTGCTTGTACTAGCCCAGACTTAAGCTGGTTTTATAGTGCTAGCCCACTGAGATACCATGCCGCAGTGAAGCATGAATACCCCACTCAGACACATTATACTGACTCCGAGCCGACCAGTCCTTGTTGTACCCATTAATGCTGAACGCCAGGCAGGGACCAACAAGTACCATATTTTAACGTCTTTTGGTGTGATGCGGTCGGGGATCGAACCCACGACCTTCCGCTCTCCGAGTGAACGCTCTTACCACTACACCACGGAGGCGGTCTCTGAGATCAAGCAATTATCTGAAGTGCTACATAACAGATAGTTACTGCACAATATACACTTGTCTGATATGCTGCAGAACAGGTACTTGTCTTGACTCGTACACTAAACAGTAGATACTTGTGTGATAAGCTGCAGAAAAATTACTTGTCTCATATGCTGTAGAACAGATGTATACTTGTTTTGTGTCATGCTGAAGAACAGGTTATTTTTGTGTGAAGAGATGCTTGATCGTACTACAGGGAGGTAACTCTTACTTCTTGGTTGTAATTCATTATTGCTTTCTTTCTTGGTTTGCAGAGATCGTGTGAACCCAATCTGGCAGGCTGTGAGGGACTTTCTCTACAATGTGGTTGTCAATGCTAATGAACACACCTTCTTAAACGAACGTGCTGTAGTTGGACTGCTGCGATTGGCTGTGAGATTATTACGGAGAGAAGAAATTGCTTCTCAGGTGCTCACATCGCTCAGGATATTAATGATGATGAAACCAAATGTGATACACAGTATAAGTCGCCAGGTGGCGTTCGGACTTCATGAATTGTTGAGGACTAACGCAGCAAACATTCACTCCAGCCAGGACTGGTATACTCTGTTCATGTTGCTGGAGATAGTCGGGGCGGGAGCTAATCCTCCACCTGTCATGCAGGTGTGTTCTGGTGTAGATGTAGGCGAGGCCATTCACGATGCAGGTTAGTATGTAGTCATACACTGTGCAGTTGTCAACTATTTATCAACATGTGATTGTCTTATATTATACTACAATAATGGACAGCAGTGGTCGAAATTAAGAGCGAAATTCATCAAAGAACCTTAGTGCTGGGCCTCTATCACTTGGATGAGAGTGTTTCTTTCTTCTGCAGACTAGCTGAAGCGAAACATGTAAACAATTATGCCAGTGTAGAGTCATTTGTTTTTCTTGTTAAAATAAGGTAGCTTGACCCACCCAAGTTTCAGAATCCATGAAACTGACTTGAAATGTTTGACCAACAGGTGCCCAGAGTGACAGTGAAATAGTCAGTGAAAGCTGCATATCGGAGCTGAGTGACCGGGGGTACACGTCTGACAGTGAGCTGTATGAGAGTCAGAGTAAGCATCACCATCAACGGGGGCAGGCAGAACTACAGCTCAGGCCAATACCAGACAATGGCAGCTGGCTGCTGGTAGGTCCTGCAGGAGGGTCCTGTCTCTTATTTTGTAATACAGTCAGCTCTCGTTAATCCGACACTCATTAATCCGACAATCACGTTAATCCGACAAAAAATTAGGGAACCATTTAAAACAGTGATAATTACTCTCGTTAATCCGACATTCTCGCATTCCGACTCCGACACACCAATCTAGCAACTGATTATTGTAAATACATTGTAAAAACATTCGTTAATCCGACAATCAACACAGCCGGTCGGATAATCCGACCGTATACAAACAATCACACGCGAGTAGTAAATAGCGTGTGCCTTACTGGCTGCTTGACACTGACGTCGGTGAATATCACACTGTGAATATTTTTACATACGGTGAAGATCAACCATTTCTGATATGCATGCAACAGTATGATGATCATGACATTTAGTAAACATTGATATTTTCACACAAATACATTAATCCGACATTTTCATTAATCCGACATTTTCGTTAATCCGACATATTTCTCTGCAACCACAAGTGTCGGATTAACGAGAGTTGACTGTATTTGTTTGTTCTTCTTATTGCATCCAGCAATATTCCAGCTGTATGATGGCAATCTAAATAATAGATGTCTAGTAATAGATGGCATGAGCTCTCAAGTCTACTCAATATATGTGACATACCTACTCTGAGAGCCTGACCATGTTAGTCACCTGTTACACCAAGCATGGGTTACTGAAGGCCAATTTTAATCCAGATCTTCTTTTCGGTACTTTTTGATTCACGGATGAATGCTGATGGGAAACTTGTGATCTGATGAATGATGAATGGTTGGTTTGTTGTTTAACGCCCCACTCAGCAGTATTCGAGCTCTAAGGCGGCAGTCTGTATATAATTGAGTCGGGACCAGACACTCCAGTGATCAACATCATGAACATCGATCTACGCAACTGGAATACGATGACATGTGTCAGCGAAGTCATCAAGCCTGACCACCCAATCCCATTAGCCGCCTCTTACGACAAGCGTGCGGATTGCCGAAGACCAGTTCTTACCTGGATCATCATGGGTTAAATGACCTTAAAATAGTGAAGACATGGCTAAATTTTGTAGATTTTCAATTGCAGTACTATGAACTATCATGATACTGCTTGTCAGTTGCCTGGACATTTTTGACACATGCCAGCATCCTATAGGATGCAATATATGTCAATCAGACATTGATGTAAAGTCATTAAAGAATGTGAGGCTTGGGGGGACGAGTGATAAGTAAGAACATCATGTTTATAGATAATCATTAGCTAAGCTTTGTTCAGTATGAGAGAGAATACTGTAGATCGACTTCAGTGTGAAGGCATGTAATATCCCCAAGTCACTGCCACATCACTCCATCTCATTGATGGTGCAGGTGAACAAAGAGGAGTCCAGCAACCCTCAACCTCCACAACGCAAGAAGTCCAACCCAATCAACCAGTTCAGCATCGACTTGAATGAAGAACTCCATTACTGTGATAGCAAAGCCCTTCTCAAGTCGTCGGAAACACTCTCATTCCTTGTACGAGATGCTGCTCATGTTACCCCTCATAACTTCGAAAGCTGTGTTCATGCCATCCGGACGTTTGTGGAAGCAAGTGTTAACGGAGGTAAGTCATCAACAGTCATTGCTATCAGGTGTTGAGAACCACTTCTACGCAGCATCCTGTAATAAAATGGTGACATTGTAGTTTGGTAGCTTCACTCACTTGGAATATTCAGGCTTTCTTATCTGTTGAAGTTCTTATCATTGACCGGTGCCTGGTTGCAAAATGCAAAGATGTTACAGTTGGGCAAAGATGTTACAGTTGGGAAAAGATGTTACATTTGGGCAAAGATGTTACAGTTGGGCAAAGATGTTACATTTGGCCAAAGATGTTACAGTTGGGCAAAGATGTTACATGGGCAATGCCAATATCTGCAATGTTATAGGTCTGGCTATCCGATCCTGATTCACAATAGATGTGATCTTTTGTCCCCTGCCATAACGCACAACAGGGGACTATGTATATTCAGCGGCGCTGTCCGTCCGTCTCAAGTCATGTCCATCCCAGATGCATCCGTACGTACATCCCGATTCTTGTTAAGGCGATATCTCATGAACTGTTGTACCCAATGTCTTCAAATTTGGTGACAGCCTACATTGGGGGATTACACAGACACCAGTTTATTTGGGTGACCTTGACCTTATCTTCAAGGTCACCACGACACTTTGAACACTTTTCAAACTCTTGTTACCGCTGTTGTACCCAATGTCTTCAAATAACCTATTTAAGACACCGCGAGATATCTCTAAACATTGCACCCAATGTTTTCAATTATGTTGACAGCCCCATTGGTCACCCACGACACTTTGACCGCTTTTCTAACCTATTTAAGCTGAGATATCTCTAAACATTGATTATGCAGACACCAGTCATTTCAGGCATCTTGTATGTGACCAAAATATAAAAAGTAGTAAATATAGTTATTCCATTCTTTAGCGGCAGGGGACATTGCCATATCAGTGGCAAACACTTATTTTCTGTGAGTTGACCCACATCAATGGACTTCACTAGTACATAACATATTTGACTTGTATTACTTACAGCTTTTTCTTCATCATTCACATCATCACGTAACTTACCACACAGACAATGACAGTATATATATTTACAATACACTGACATATAACTGATTGCCTTGTTAGGTCATCTGAAGTCTTCATTACCTCAAAACAAAGAAAGAAGATCACATAGGATTCCCCGATCAAAGAGAAACAGCATCAAGTTGATGAAGAAGTCCCAGTCGTCTCCGAGCGAGTTATCTCACATGACTAACTCCGATGATGAGGGTGATGGTGATGGAATGACCGCTGGCCTGCACTCACTGTCGATACAGCTGCTGGATCTCATGCACACGTTACACACACGGGCAGCTACCATCTTCAGCTCCTGGGCGGAGGAGGAAGAAAAAGAGGAAGAATCTGTGAAGATTGATGCAGGGACCAGCACACTATGGGGCAAGTGTTGGTGTCCCCTCCTGCAAGGTGAGGTGTAATTTCATCATTGACAAGGAATAACAGTCAAATCATAATCTTGAAAGTCTTGAATATTGTCATATTCCTAATTCAAAAATGAAACATGTCAAGGTGCCGTGAGGTATCCTAAAGATGCAGGAGTGATTAGCAAATGCTTTAACCACTGAGCAACCCCACCACCCCCAAAGATGCAGGAGTCATTAGCAAATGCTTTAACCACTGAGCAACCCCACCACCCCCAAAGATGCAGGAACTCAATTTGTTTCTAACACAAAACAATTGTTAACTGACTGCTTTCTGGCTCCGGTTCTCAGAACTTACTAGCCTTTGATGTGAATACTCACATCAACCCACTCACCCTCAGATGGTGGTCTACCTTTAGTCACTAGCGATTTAGAGCCCATGTTTATATCATCTTGTTGATTAGTAATGTTTTCTTTTAACTGCTATCAACTAGTTTTAAATTGTATCTGTGATAATCTAGTTATTATACTGTCCATGGATGACAGACTTCATATTTATACTATATTTAGTATTTATATTCAATTTCTCGTCACGATATGGCTGCAATATTGCCCTTGTGACGAAGACGTTTTAACTCACTCGCTCACTCTTAAAGAAGGATGCTTCAATACAGGTATTGCTCGGTTGTGCTGTGATGGCCGACGGGGGGTGCGAAGCCAGGCTCTGACCTACCTTCAGAGGGCGCTGCTCGTACACGACCTGCAGACTCTGTCAGCTGTAGAGTGGGAGGCCTGCTTCAATAAGGTAAACTGTTTTAATTCAGCTCAAGATTTGATCGTCAAATACATCAACACTTGTGTAATAATGCTAACCATCATTATGTTTTGAACAAATTTCCAGCAACTGCAAATATATTACGAATGATGTTCAAAATACATCAAGATTGTCACTTGACTACAGGCATTGTCATTTATAAAACCAGTTTGTGGACAAATAACAATCACTATTATCCTATTATTATCAGTAATCTGAAGGATCTGGCCAAACCATACAGTCCACATGGCCTGTCATGCTTAAAATGGTAACTAACTTTAGACACTGATTTCCTCAGATATTCATGACATTGTTAATTTGGGGTTGGCATCTCTTCAAATGTCTGGGTTGGCATCTCTTCAAATGTCTGGGGTTGAATTCTGCGGATTAAACTGTAATTTAAGCATGTGTTATCTTTCAGAAATATGAGAATATAATGTGAATAGTAGTGCCGTTCATTTGTTGGTTGTCTGGTTGTTGTTTAATGCAGCACTCAGCAGTATTCCAGCTATATGGCGGAGGTCTGTAAATAATCGAGTCTCGACCAGACAATCCAGTGATCAACAGCATGAGCATCGATCTTCGTAATTGGGATACAATGACATGTGTCAACCAAGTCAGCGAACCTGACCACCTGATCCCATTAGTTGCCTCTTACGACAAACATGGGTTACTGAAGACCAATTCTTATCCGGATCTTCATGGGTCACTCATTTAACAATAATTGCATGTAACCACATGCAGATCCTAGCAGTGATGTTAAAACTTCCCTAAAAGCCTGTACAAGGTGTTATACATGTAAACTGTTCTGCTGAACACACTCATCAAGAATGTTCAGATTGGTAATTAGAGGAGCTTGTCATGCAACTTGATGGTGACTCTCCGCTCTGATGCAGGTGTTGTTCCCACTGCTGACGAAGCTGCTGGAGAACATCAACCCTCAGGACCCTGCTGGTATGGAGGAGACACGCATGAGAGCATCAACTCTGCTTTGCAAGGTGACAACCACTCTAGGGACATATTCATAAGATTCCAATGATTTCTTTCATTGATTTCACAGTGATGTCTGTTTTCAACTTAATCTTTACATTAAGTTGCCCCTGTTAAACTTTAAATAGGATTCATTTATTAGTCTTAAAACTACTGTCAAACAGAGTTGCCCTCTACCAAGAAATTCTACTTAACCCCATTTGCCAGGCAACATACACAGCTACAGTATATATCTAGTCTCTGCTTTTATGAATAATGTCAAAATATGGAATACCTGAATCATGAGTAGCTGTACCATTCTTGAAAACGTTACTCTATGTTTTTGATTACATTTCAGTATGACATGTAATTTTTTTCCATTTGAAGTTCAACTTGAGTATGTTTGCTTGGCATTAAATAATGATCCATTATTCTTAAAACATACAGTATGTCCTTATTTGTAAAGTAGGCCATATGCCCACATTTGAAGAAATCTGGAAAACATTGTATGACTGTTCTGACTCCAGGTGTTCCTGCAACATCTGACACCACTGCTGTCGCTGACAACGTTTCAGCGGCTATGGCTGACTATACTTGACTTCATGGAGAAGTACATGAAAGCTGATCGTAGTGACTTGCTGGTAGGTTACCCTCATAGATAACGCGAAAAGAAACATTAATGTACTCCAGAAATCTTTTACAGTCATTGGTGTGCTCTTAGAACCTGCATATCTGACCCTTTTGTGTCTTGAAACAATCTTCCCTCTCAAAGCATATATGTCCTGAAAAATAACCCAGGTTCCTTCCTCAACCTTAAGTATCAGTTTAACTCAAATAACAACTGATATCTTTGATGTTGTGTAACATTAATGCATTATTTTTCCTTATCCTGACTCATGATCTTTTGCTTATCTCCTTCTATGCGAATGTTAGTGGAACACTTGAATCCCTTATAGTTCCCTAAAGTGGACATAAGAGTTCACTAACCCACGAGTTACCTCCCTTTTCCCACGCGCACAGTCATTTGACCAGCCATACTTACCACTCTCTCCTTCATCTCCCAAGCGGAGGGTTGGGCGAGCACTGGAGTCCCGTATACAGCATTATATCCTTTACATTTAGATCCTTTTATCCAAATTACGTGCATCGTGGGTGAGTGAACTTTTACTTCCGCTTTAGGGAACTACAAGGGATTCAAGTGTTCCAATAACATTCGCATAGAAGAAGGAGCTAAGCAAAAGATCATGAGTCAGGATAAGTGTAAAATATCAATTTTACTTAAAAAATGACATCTTTGTACTGGCACCAAACAGTGTTTAAGTTCAGAATGAAAGGCAGGTCCTTTTTCTAGGTCCATAGTTTTTGTCTGATTGTTATGTACACATCAATTCATGAATTTTATTTTGAGCTGTTGAGATAAGTTTCCATAGTTTAATATTAAATGTATTTTTTTTAAAGCAGAAATACCTTTAAATGATACTTTCCAAAATTCAGCCTGTAACCTTGAATGATGAGATGAACTATTCCTTTAAGAATGTTTGGTGAGTGGTCATCTGAGAAATGGCATCCCTTCATTGTTGTGTCTGTTGTCCAGTCGGAAGCTATTCCGGAGTCCCTGAAGAACATGCTGCTGGTGATGGATACAGCTGGAATCTTCCAGACCGGAGATGGACGAGAGTCACAGTTCTGGAAACTCACCTGGGACAAAATAGACACCTTCTTACCTCATCTCAAAGAAGAGCTCTTCAAGCCATTTGAACCTGGTATTACTTTGATGAGAATTTCTTTGTCACCTCTTGATATAGTGTGATATGCTTTTTAAGACATGTCAGAATGTTGTGGCAAAGTATTTACCTTCACAGAGATGCCATTGTTGATGACACAACATGCAAACATGACTGAATAGTGTGACGTTAAGTTAATACTAAAACTAAGGTATGACTGTGTTTCTGGTCACGTGCAAATGACAAATGCCTTGTTCAATTTGGGGCAGTTGGGTAGCCTTGTGCTTAATGCACTCACTCATGACAATAAAGACCTGGGTTAAATTCATCTCATGTTTACCAAGCAGCCCTTTTCTGATGTCCTCCACAGTCATGATGCTGGAATATTGCTAAAAGTATACACACTTATTCATTCATTAGTAACTGTCATCAAATTGTTTAGTCATTTTTCACAATGTTTGCACTATGTTAACCGTCATCTCTTTAGAAAATCAGCTCAGTTCAAAGACCAGGCTCAAATATTTGTAAAATACGCTACTTTGAAAATCTTTTTAGATGATTTTCAGGTTTATTTTAAAAATGGTGTTCTCTTATCTCTAAAACATACATATCTTCTTTCAGTTTAAAGTCTCTTATTCTTTCATATCATATCATCTATAGCTCAATGCATGTATTAACACATCATCATGATCATGTTGCTTTCATAGCACTGTGTTTTATTTAAAACGCTGTTCAATGCAGTATTCAGCATAATTCCCTCTGAAGTTCAGTACATCATTTATCTTTCTTTAATGAGTTAAACAATGAAGTACAGGTTCTGATTTTTGAAAATTACAGAACACAGACATATAGACCGAACTGCAACAAGTCCACCTGCAGCTTCTCAGGCTGAGTATGTTGAGAGTCTGCCTACATCACAAGCACCTGCTGCCCAGGCTGCCCCTCAACCAGCAGAAGACTGTCCCCCACTGGAGGGTATCACTGTCATCAAGGACACACGACCAGGTGAGCTGCACACTGCAATACATCATTACAAAAAAATGCATTATACAAAAAATAACTGGGGGTGAATAATGAAAATAAAATGACAATCTTAAAGTATAGAGGTAATTACCAAGTATTTTCATCGGTCCAACTTGAGATATTTTGAAAAGTCTTATATCAATTTTTCATTCTTGTCCATATGATTGGCAGCTATGAACATCAACTAAACTTTGACCCAAACTTATTTTATTGATAATGTCATGCATTTACATTTATGATCTATCCCTGAATATGTGAATTGTAGATTACTAGATAAAATCATGTGACATGATCTTTTGGTCAAGTCGGACACACTTCTCTTGAAACTAATTATTAGGTTTGTCAACTTCCAAACAAATAATCATTCCAAACCACCTTGTTTCAGAATACACTGTGCCATCTCCTCCTCGTCCCAGCAGCCCGCTGATGTCGAATCCAGACCCGTCTCCTGCCGGCACCTCCTACATCCTCCAACCACCCTTGCCAACAGTTACCTCCCTTTCGTCCTCCCAGCCTAGTCCTCCAGGTAGCTCGGCAGTCCTAAGTGGGGCCAGCGCCAGCCCCCCGCCCATATTCCTCTTCTTTTAAACCCAGCCATCATGCAGAGCACTACTGTTCCTTACATAACTCCACAAGTAAGTACAAGGCCTGGTGTTATCTCCCATCTCTACCTGCATCGTCTAATGCACCTGGACCATATACACCTTCCACTTTCGGCCTTGAGTCATAAAAATATTACAACAAAAGATCTGAAATAACGGGTCCCTTATCAGCTCACGAGTTGTCCTTGAAATCATTTAAAGTGAAGTCAACTTTCCCAAACAGAGGAATCGGAACAGTCAACATGACAAAACAGTTTGTTTCAAAATTGTGTTTCAGTAGGTTCACAGTGCTAAGCATTTTGTAACTGCATGATAGCCCAAAGTTTAACTGCAGGAAATTGAATGTTACTTAACATTTTCCTGATTTCTTGCAGTTCTAACATTGAAGTTCTCCAGTGTATGTGGATGTTGCATGAACCTTGAATAACTTAGTTGTCAACTAATCCCAAACGTAGATTGTGTTGATTTTTATTTGTACATATTATGCATGCTTTGAATCTGTGTTAATAACATGCGCAATTAGGAACCGATGACGTGTGTCAACCAAGTCAGCGTGCCTGACCACCCGACCCCGTTAGTTGCCTCTTACGACAAGCATGGGTTACTGAACATCAATATTCTAACCCAGGCCCTTCACGGGTAAAAGCTTCATGATACTGTCAGTTGACAGTAATAGCATCTACAACACTACCAATTTCTTGAAATATAAATCAATCTCTATTACTAAATAAATTATATTAAGCAGTTATGACAAGGCACTGATAGATGCTCATGCTGTTGACCACTGGATTGTCTGGTCCAGACTCGACTATTTACAGACCGCCGCCATATAGCTGGAATATTGCTGAGTGTGGCGTAAAACTAAACTCACTCACTCACTCACTCACGCATGAAGCTTTCATTCTATGCCGGTCTGGGCGGTGGGGTAGCAGCCTAGTGGTTACAGCCTTCGCTCGCCACGCCGAAGACCCAGGTTCCATTCCCCACATGGGTACAATGTGTGAAGCCCATTTCTGGTGTTCCCCGCTGTGATATTGCTGGAATATTGTTAAGAGTGGCGTAAAACTAAACTCACTCACTTTGTGGATCAAAGCCGAGAAGAAAATTGTGTTTTCTCTTTGAGTAGTGTAGGTGACAAATGCATACATTCTGAGCCACCATGTATGTTGTTAGCTACAGCAAAAATTGTCATCCGCTAACTTAGTCATTGTAGTGGGATAGATGAAGATGTAAAGAACGTTCTCAGTATGGGCAGGGGTAACCACATTTAGCACAGCTGTTGCAGGGTTTATTTATCTTTCAAAATTAGAACCTCTGCTGAGTACAGGGCATTAGAAACAAAACATTACCTGTATCATTACAAGTATATATCTCTATATGAGGTATATATCAGAGAATGATGAATTGCCATATAAAAATATTAGTAGAGCAGGTCATATGTGTACATGAACAAGAACTGGTGGACGAGGGGAGGAGGGGTGAGAAAATAGATTAAAAATGAGTCAGTATTCTCTCAGGATTTACCCAGCAGGATTTAAAGAGGTGCTACCTAGAATGTGCCGTGAATTTATCACTCAAAACATTTTTTCAACATTTGCTTTATGGTTGTTACTCTGATTAAATAACAGGCTATTTTCATAACTCGGGGATATTGTTTGAACTGAGTAGTTTGGAATTTGACAATAGTTGCTTGTCCTGGGAGATTCCAAGAAAATTCCTATGATCTGAAACAGTTATAGATGACTTAGATCAATTTTACTGGAAGGTCCCAAAGTAAAATGGACACTATATCATCAAACAATATCAAAATACCTATTGTATTCTAACAAAATTAACACGCACCCATAGCTTTAAAATATAGATACTTCTCTCAGTTTACTTTATTAACAACTTATTAACAGCATTATTAAAATGTGCTTGCTTTTAGCTGTTGATTATGTACATTATTGTAATTATTTACAGGGCATGTCTGCATGAACATTATATTTATGACATTTTTGTACAGTCTAATTTCTGTAGGTTGTTGTAAATGAAATTTTTTAGTATCACTGTTTAAACTAGCCTTTGATGATATACATTAGTGGCAAACAAGCATTTGTAACTGAAGATTTACCTACATCCGTGATAAGAGTTTTTATTGTCTTAAATGTTATTCAAATCTTGTTGATATTGTAAATAATGGAAAACTTGCATGGTCAGCTTGTGATCTTAAAAGGATCATTTTAAAAACGAATGTTTAAATTCGATAACATGTCTGGTTAAATTATTAATAGGAACAAAGGTAAAGGTTGATATCAAGTATCATGAAGGTTCTCACTATTTCTTCAGGGGCAGTGGGGTAGACCTGGGTTCAATTCCCCACATGGGTTCAGTGTGTAAAGCCCATTTCTGGTGTCCACACCACGATATTGCTTGCATATTTCTAAAAGTAGCATTTAACCTTACTCACTGGCACATGCCACTATTACTTTCAGATAGCGGAGAGTCCTCGTCACCTGGTCAGCGACAGCCAATGATGTTGGGGACCTCGTCCAGACAGTCCCCTGTCATTCATACAATATAACCACACTTCATTGTCCTGTACCAACAGAAGATCAACATCACTCTCATTAGGATGACTTGAAGCAAACACCTGCTCCAGTAATAGGAATCCTGCCTTTTAGAATCCTGCATGTTATACACAGACGTTAAATGATTCTGCAGATAAGCTGTCTGGTGTCTGCAAAGTCCGTGGGTTTTATTTCATGATGCGAGGAGACGGTTGTTGAGGTGTAACGCCAGTTCATGGTGATGTTCGTGGAGACAGGAAGGTACTCTCCATCTTCATCTCCACTACACGATTAAAAACAGGAGACTTGACCTTGTTGAACAAGTCTTCTATCATTCTTGTGAACAGTGTTCCCCTTACTGTTGACAGGCTAATGGTAGCCAAACAAGAACCATTGTCCATTCCCAACTACTAGTATTTGTTATTCACGTGGATTACATAAGATTAGCACAGGCAGTATAATGTAATCAAAAGTTAAGCCCCAGTGGTCCGATTTGACAGCCAAAACAAGACCATATGTTTGATGCTTGTTAGAAGTGACACCTTCGTATTTGCAACAATATTGACATTTTTTTACTTTTCACAAGGTTAAGGTCATGTCATATAAGCCATCATGTCCGTCACACAAATGGCAAATGTGCTTTTTGTTTTCTTAAAAAACATTTTATGGGATCAATTGGACAAACTGCATTTATTTCATATTGGAAGTTGTATTTAAAGGGTAATTATGTACACACGAAATTGTAATGATTTTATGGTTTTTGTAATGTCCAGTCTTGTTTGATATTAGAGTCGAGAATTTGACTCTTATGCATGGAAAGTATTTCAGGAAAGATAAAAATGTTGGTACTCTTGGAGTACTTAGTACTTTTATGCACAACCTCAAACATTAGATTATTTATTTACTTCACATATGCAATGTATAATAATCAGATTAATATATTTTACCACACGCATTTTGTATGATCTATCTCATACAAGTGTATAAATTTAAAAGGAAAAGGTCTGTGGAAGTTGTCATGGCAGACCTTAGATATGTTTGCTTTAATCTGATGGATTAGAATTGTCCTGAGTTTACACATTGTGTTATAATAATGACTGCTTTGGTGAAAGTCATTTTGTATTACTGCAAACACAATTGCTTTTAGGGATGTGGTTTGTGTTTCATATATATTTCTCGTCAGTTTCATCAGATTGTGAGTATATCATCATTTGCCATGTCTCTATCCTCTTTTCAAGCTGGCATGGTGATAGCCTCTTACGCTTCTGAATAACGGTTTATGTTTTCCTTTTCGGCATAGCTTAAACTGAGTTAGACAATGTACGTCACAGTTTATCAGTCATAAGGTTGTGTCTGTGATTGTGATTCATTATCTGTGCTGAGGGTTATTAAAGCTATTGTTCCAAGTCATATGTGACTGTTACTTTTTTCCCCCAAACTACATGTTGGATTAAGTGAACCATTCTTGTAACAATTCAGACCAAGATTTGGTTTCTTAAAGACATCATAAACACCATTTGACAAACTAAATTAAACACTATTTGAAGTTTTAAGATCATTCTCAGAAGTCTCAAGCTTCAGGAAACAGAAATGTCTGAATGAGAATAATCATAGGTAATGTTATCAGAAGATGCTCAACTTTGTGACGATATTGCATGAACAGTGTACACAACATATATACTACTCGAAAAAGGTTAAGAAATGCTGATGTTCTTTACATCTTGTGAGTAGTTTACATTGGGAATGAAATGGCATGAGTGTTTTAATGTATCACAAACAATTCCATGTTTGTGTTGGGTGAGCTTCCTGGCACTTGGGACTACTTAATGATATATATTAATGGTCCATTTGGCTGGGAGTTTTGTGTCCATGCAGTAGTAATGTTCTGTGATTGATGTTCGAATTTGTTTATCACAAAGCAGCCATTCACACTGTAACCACACACATATTTGTTTGGGAACGTTTTCAAACTGCATCTAAGCATGCTAAATTTGGGATTATTGCAAGATCTAAACTTGGGATTTTTTCTTAATACCTACCTTACAACAGCTTGCAAAACAAGTGTTAGATTCTAGTCAACCTAACTCTATTGTGTCAAAAATAACTGTAATTTATTATTTGTAATATTTCATCTATGATAATTTGTTAGCAACCTCTGCCAAGAGTATTTGTGGAAATAATTAGAAACAAATTAAGATTCTCATCAACACTTGATTCTGATGAAGAAATACGACTGTTTGTGACGTATTCAAGATGCAAGTTATTATTCCCCAATACAGTGAACCTATTTAAAAAATTTTTTCAGCAAAACATCATGTGTTTTACAATTTGTTCAAACTAAAATGAATGAAATGAGTAACAACGGATATTTGATTACTTTCCGGTTGTGAACTAAGTCATATCTGCAAAAATTGGTAATGTTCAAGTACAATTTCATATCTCTTCACATAAACTAGTCCTTTGGTATACTACCCAGTTATGTTCATGACAAGCAATCCCAGATTTTGCCACTAACGCATGTGCAGTAGGTTGCATTGTATTTTATTTTATTGAGTAAACTTCAGAGTAGTACGAAACGTACACATTCTGTACTGGAGGCTGCCTCTTTTTGTACATATCACTCATTATTTAAAATAATCATTTGTAGATAGATTCCTCATTGTTGCCAAATCAAACTATGTTTGAATTTCAATTTTAAGAATCAGACTTTTGATTCTTCCTATAATATATATTGCAGTGTCACAAACATGTTAAAGGTCGAGTCATAATGTACAGGTTCATGTGTAGATTGTCTTGTCAGTTACTAGTTTGTGCCTGCATTACCGCAGTGGCTAGCCAATACCCAGGCATTGTATAATGTAGACACTTCCATATGATCTTGGGTTATGGTATTTCCATGTAGTTTGAGTAAAGCTTTTTTAGTGTATGCATTGTTAATTTTCTCTTTAGGGATGCAGGTGTCCAAGTCACATCTCTGCATAGTTGCCTCCCCTAGATATGTCAGGATGCACTGGTTCCATGCCAGATTTGCAAATTGTTAACCACGATCTGTCAGCACGTATGAATGCTGGTTACTTCCAGGTTACCTGACACATTGAGCGGACAGGCCAGATAAACTGAAAAACTGTAACCAAGCTCACTAGATCCATCTTAGGGTTTAAATTTTAAACAATTAGTGTGCACCAGACTATTGATCAAATATGAAAGTTGAAGAGAACCTGTCATCACTAACCCAAGATCTGCAAAATTTCTGAAGATTAGTCTCTCCAGTCAGCATTAATCACAGCTCATGTCATGTTGGGCTGAAAGTTTGTGATGTTCCAAGTCATCCCACTTATCAATATCTCAATGATATGTTTTGGCTTGATGAGTTGAACTAATTTGTACTCTTGCTATTTAACCAGTTATTAACAGACCTGGGTGCCATTGTATACAACAAACTTAGTGCTGTGCCAGTCGTAAGTCTGTTAAGGTATGGGAGTTACGATCACCTAAACGCTATGATAATTTTGTACCACAGCACCCAAATCTTTGAACTATTATTTTTCTCCGGTAATTCTCAGGCGTCGCCAAGTAGTTTGTTGTTTTCGTCAACTGGGTGTTGTAATAATTCACCTCATTCATCATGATCATTTAGTGATGAAATTATGAAAAATGTCTCATCTTCAAAATGTAGATATCGTTAATCTTTTTGTTACAAAAAGAAGTGGCGGTGGGGTAGCCTAGTGGTTAAAGCGTTGGCTCGTCACGCCGAAGACCCGGGTTCGATTCCCCACATGGGTACAATGTGTGAAGCCCATTTCTGGTGTCCCCTGCCGTGATGTTGCTGGAATATTGCTAAAAGCGGTGTAAAACCAAAACTCAGTCAGTCAGTGTTACAAAAAGAACCTTATTTGCCAGGGAACACTTAACATGATTGGAAGTTATGACTCCTGAATGTATCTACAGTCTACAAATATACATTAACCTGCCAGTTTGACTCTTCACTTTATACCTTGTTATTTCATGAGTAAACATTACAACCTCAATATTACTGTGTGGCCTATCTGGCATTAAACATTCTCCAATATCAGTATTTAGAGGCTTTCATACCAGTCATCCCATAATATCCATGACTTCTGCTGTGAGCATCTTTTTTGCTATTCTGAGGACGACAGTGCTTATTTGTACATGTCTTTTAATCAGTAGGATCATCTTTCAAAGTATGTCTTTTTATCCACATCAGCCTCATGAGATTTATTAGAAGTGTTGTGTGAAAGCTGACCTGGGCCCTTATACTCGAAACGTTCGTAGCTCTGAGAATCCTTAACTTTGATCATAGCCAATGTGTTAAGAATAGGCTTAAGAAGTTTGTAGGACTACGAACCTTTCGAGAATAGCTAGCCAGGTGAGTGACAAGTGAAGATGCTCACTTAAACCTCAGTTAAAATCCTCAAAAGAGAAGAGGCTGTTAGTCAACTCAACAGCTTCCTATTTCATGAGAAATGTCCAAAACGGAGTATAAACTTAACTCTCTCACTATTTAATTGGCCAGGGATAACAAGCAAAAGTTAAAAAAATATACTTTATGTCAAATATGGCAATCTGTTTCTTTTAAATCATTTTAAATGCTTACATTTCTTACTGTCCACTACTAAATTGTTTCATTAGAAAAGAAGTTTTTTAAGATCTTAATGTGCAGTCCTAATTAGTTTCAAAACCTGTTTGTGTTGGGGGGAGCTTGTGCAGACAATGTGGCACCTCACCCTGTGCAATAGCATCTCCTTGTTACTTATGTACATTTGTGAGTACATCCGTTGTTAAATATATAATCCTGTGAAATATGTACAGTAATAATTGTGATATTGTACAGATGTGGTGTCTTATATCACAGAAAGAACATATTTTAATCCAGTATTCTACATTTATTGCTGTTGTATACAGTTTAACATGGTGAGCGTGTTAACTTGTAGATTAATTTAACTGGATGTGTCAAATAAACCATGAAAAACAAGCTTCATTAGTTATTGTTTTTATTCTCTCTATTTCTATACGCATGGTTTGATCAGTATTGGGGCGGTGGGGTAGTCTAGTGGTTAAGGTGTTTGCTGGTCACGCTGAAGACCTGGGTTTGATTCCACAAATAGGTACAATGTGTGAAACCCATTTCTGGTGTCTCTCTCCCCCCCTCCCCCCCCCCCCTTTCTATAAGCAGCGTAAAACTAAACTCACTCACTTGATCAGTATTTGTTGGTTTGTATTAATTTTTGTTTTACCTTTTGTTTTTTGTAATTTGGTAATGTACAGTTCAACATCGGTGGAGGTGTAAAACTAGTCGATATCATGACAAGCAAGGGTTGATTGATACTGTGTTCCTGCCTCACCTAAAAGGTGAGTGAGTGAGTTTAGTTTTACGCTGCACTCAGCAACCCATGACTGTCGTAAGTGGCCACTAAGGGGATCGGGTGGTCAGGCTCGCTGACGTGGTTGACACATGTCATCGTATCCCAATAGCGTAGATCGATGTTCATGCTGCTGATCACTGGATTGTCTGGTCCAGGTTCGATTATTTACAGACCGCCGCCATATAGCTGGAATATTGTTGAGTGCGGCGTAAAACTAAACTCGTACTCGTACAGCCACTCGTGCTGTGTAGTAGCTACATCATGGCCGGCCTGCTGTGAATCCTCACGCCGCCACCATGTAGGTGTGTCACAGTCACAAAGCTATCCAACAAACACCAAGCAACCTGTCAATTTGATAATGCAAATGATATGTGCAATTCTCAATCGAAATGGTTAATATTAATAATGCAGCATTGGACGTTCAGAAGTTCTCTTGTGTAAGGATGCGATCACAAAATGTTAATATTAATGCAGAAAGGAACCGTGAGGAAACCATTATTTGTAACAATCAGTATTATCTCTGGAGTTTCGGCGTAACGGTTTGTCATTCGTGCCTTTTTTCTTGTCTGCTTGACTGTTGTGTGTGACGTTCAGTTTGACCTTGTCTAGCTAGGATGAGTGCCCATCAGGAACAAGAACCATAGCAACAGCTGGTTAGCTTTAAATAGTAATTATGCCGTTTTAAACATGAGTTTAGAGGTTTACTGAACAATAATTATCTAACAGTATTACAACTTGGTCCATTGGTCTGACACACGATTCATAATGTATGGCATGAATCTATGTATGATGTAGATGGGACTGTATGAAGCTATAAGGAAACGTACATAGTGACGCATGAATGTATACATATGTGCATAAAATAAGCACCACCATGTATTTTTACCAATTAAATTTGTCTGAAATGAAATTGTAAACTCTTTCCAAACAAGAACCTTTATAATTTGATAGAGCATGCATTTAACATTTCAAAAACGAAAACATCATTGAAATTACCATGCACTTTAATTAGGATAATTGCCTATATTTAAAACAGGGTTTTTCTGTCCTAAAACAAGTTACCTTATTTTTAAAAAAGTGAAAGTAATAATTGATCGTTGTGTGGCCTATAAATTCGATATTTATTGTGAGTGGATGAAAGTTTGTAAACTAAGATTGAGGAAAAGTTACAGTCAAACGAAAAAAAGGAAATATTTTAAAATGCAGTGAAAGTTGCTGTACAAACACAACAAACCGATTTTAGCTGTTATCATCAGTATCCGGCAAGGAGAAGTGTTTATTCATTACAATAAACTCAAAATCATAAAAATTTATTCCAAAATCTTATTAATGTGGCCTTGTTTCAGCTTTTGTCAATTAGCAATCTGAATTGTTGGAAAAAGGTCTGAATCTTTGACATTCGGGTTCTTCCTGATTATGCATAAATAAAGCTTACTTGATGTGTAAATGTCATCTTGGTATATAACAGAATTGTTATTTTTAGTCAAAACTTAATTTAATTGTGTAGTTTGAGCAGGAGAGGAATAGTTATTTTGGGTAAAAATTCAGTCCCATCACATTTTCATCAACATATTCTTTCATAAAAAATAGACAAGGTTATGGTATTTGTAAAACTGTCAATGGATAAAGCTTCTTTAACTACAGGTTGATTAAATTGATGGCTATACCCTAACTTTTCTGTAGCATCACATTTTATTATCAAAATAGGATGGTGCTTAATTAATGCACGGGTGTTTAGTTTAAAGTATGAAATGATGAGAGGTGAGGTGAGGTGAAATTGGGTTTATCGTCGTACTTGAGAATATTTCGCTCATATGACGACGTGCATGCGTGTGTATGTGTATGTCACACTTTTTGTACTAGTCCACTGAGATACCATGCCGCAGTGAAGCATGAATACCCCACTCAGACACATTATACTGACTCCAAGCCGACCAGTCCTTTTTGAACCCATTAATGCCGAGCGCCAGGCAGGGACCAACAAGTACCATATTTTAACGTCTTTTGGTATAACGCGACCTTCCGCTCTCCGGGCGGACGCTCTAACCACTACACCACGGAGGCGGTCGAAACGATGAGAAGTAGGTGACACCTTTATCCATCGACTCTAAGTTACCATATATAATAACTGGTCCATGGATCAAAATGGTGAACAGTTTTTGAAACAGATGTGATGTCACACTTGTTTCTTATGTATTTTAACTTTGATTGCTTGTTAAAGAATTTCATCCATGTCTTCATTGGGTTATTAACATATACTACCCAAGTTCAAAAACGCCCGTTCTTTCAAATGACTGTCTTGACACACCGTTCATAACCCGCGAAGATCCGGGTTAGAATTGGTTTTCAGTAACCCATGCTTGTCGTAAGAGCTACTACCGGGATCGGGTGGTCTGACTTGGTTGACACATGTCATCGTATCCCCATTGCGAACATCGATGCGCATGCTGTTGATCACTGGATTGTCTGATCCAGGACTCGATTATTTACAGACAGCCGCGATAAAGCTGGAATATTGTTGAGTGCGGCGTTAAACAACAAACCAATTAACCACACCGTGTTTGAAACCGGGGTCGAACCCCCAACCCCTCACCCCTCCTACAAACACACATTGTACTCAATATCATCAGTTCAGAACTGCAATTATATGTTTTTATTGATCAGCCGTTTTTTCGTAAACAAGTGAACTCCGAGGTACCTATATTTTTATTACATTTAGATTTCTACAATATTAAACAAACCTTATGGATAACAACTTCTTAATTTCGTGAGTGCGGCGTTTCATTAACGATTCTTGTACCGTTGTCAATGCCACTCAAACTTGATTTCTACAATCTATTAGTCCAAACTGTTCCTTCAACGTGGTCGTCAGTAGTTTCTAACTTCTGGCTCAAAGACACGCATTCCTTTTCCAGTTCTGCCACGTCTTCTTCCCGATCCTGATGAGTTGCAGGTTTTCTATATTTCTAGAAACACCAATGGAGTAATATGTAAGGCTAATCGACACGTTAATCGCGGAAGTGAACTATATATAATTTGTTGGTAATATTATAATAGTGAACTATGCTTTCATTCATTGTTCAGACCGCCTCCGTGGTGTAGTGGTTAGAGCTTCCGCCCGGAGAGCGGAAGGTCGCGGATTCGATCCCCGACCGCGTCATACCAAAAGACGTTAAAATATGGTACTTTTTTATCCCTGCCTGGCGCTCGGCATTAATGGGTACAACAAGGACTGGTCAGTATAATGTGTCTGAGTGGGGTATTCATGCTTCACTGCGGCATGGTATCTCAGTGGGCTAGCACTATAAAACCAGCTTCAGTCTGGGCTAGTACAAGCAGCCGCACATACACATACACACGCATGCACGTCGTCATATGAGCGAAATATTCTCAAGTACGACGTTAAACCCAATTTCACCTCACCTCACCTCATTCATTGTTCAGACCCGTGAAGATCCGGGTATTAGTCTTCAGCAATTCATGCTTGTCACAAAAGCCGACGGGATCGGGTAGTCAGGCTCGCTGACTTGGCTGACACATGTCATCGTATCCCAATGCTCATGCCGTTGATCAGTGGTTTGTCTGGTCCAGACTCGATTATTTACAGACCGCCGCCATATAGCTGGAATATTGCTGAGTGCGGCGTAAAACTAAACTCACTCACTCATAGCTTTACTCACTCCTTTATGGACGATGCCAAATCGGAGAGGCTTGAGAACACGTTCCGGCAGGAAAGGGAAGAGCTTGTCAAACAATGGACTGATCAGACGGGGATCCAAGGTCTCGGGTTTCACTGGACCTATGGAGGATTATGTCATTTTGTGTGCATTATACATGAGGGAAGTATTTCAGCATTGATTGATAGACGAGAAGCGACTGTAAATACAACTAACATACAATGCTGCACATCTCTTGTCCCGAACAGCTCTTAACTGAAGTTACTTGCTTTCGGATCCAGCGTACACATCTATCAGTTTATATTGATCTCCTCTTGCAATGTCATCGATGGGGTTCTCGGTTCTGAACTGAATTGAGCTTTATTTACAGTCCGACCGTTTTCAGTGGCATTAGAGGTACATATTTACAGCACTATGTACAACTGATATAAGTTACATACATGTATGAAACACAAAGTGGTAATATATACATATCGCTTTGTTGCAAGAATAAACTACGTCTGTACATACATTTAACCAGTTAAATCAACAATGTTACACTCATGCGTTATTGATTATCTTTTGTGGGGGCGTTGCTTAAATTGAGACATTACTATTTTGCAAAATACTGCTAATTTCCTAATTGTTCCTAGTTTTTAGAGTGAAATAGCCGGTTCATTTTGTGCACATTCGAGTTTCTACAGAAATAGTTGTTGACATATAATTGTTTTCCTTTCTAGGGCCAAGGTGAGGTCAATAAACAAAAAGTGAAATTCATCTCCAATATCGTTGACAGTACAAAGAGTATATAATCTTTCATTTCGGTTTGTTTTAATCCATCGTCCTATTTCAACTGGTAGGTAATGGTTCGTAAGTTCTGAAATTAAGTAACGCTCTCCGATTATCATAATGCAATAAATTGACCTAGGTTTCACATTTCAGTGCAGAATTTGTAAAAATATTATAAATAGCTCCACTTGAAGACCTTTCAGTGTTTGATATCCAAATCTGTAGATTAATTTCTTCCAGTCTGTTTAGAAGTGCTTTAACACTATTTTTATTAGGATATGGATATGCATGCTGGCCACTAGTTTCTAACAGTGTCTAAATCTGGCTCTGTGACGTAGCTGACTGTTCGTGTTTGTACACAGCCACGGGTTTCTTGGATCGTCAGATTTGCATTCACGTACTGGACAAAACTCCATTTTCTACAGGCAGTGGTTGTACACAATTGGATAATATATTATAACAAACCATTTGGAACGTGTTGAACACATCGGTCTAACAGTGAAGTCCGAAGATCATATACCTGTTAATAAACTGACAATGGATCCCACAACGCCGACTACCACCGTAGAAACCAGTGTGAAGTAGAGGTAAGACAGGCGATACATCGGGGAAAAGGGATCTCTGTAAACACAATACAGCATAGATACAGACACACTTCCGAGAACAACCCAAAACATCTCTGTTAGGAAACAATTGGAGTTTGTATGTCGAAACTACAGGTTGTTCAGCTTGACCTGATCAAGTGAATACTAATGCATTGCGTGACCGTGTCACAACTGGTTGGGTCTATTACTGTGAAGGGGTGCGCCTTTGTCAGCAGATTGTCAACAGACCGAATAGCGGAGGCAAGGTCCATAGGCGCTTGACTCTGATATGTTTATAAGTATGACCTATATATATAAGATATAAGTTATATCATACATATATAGGTCAGAGTCGGGCGCCTAAGGCAAGGTCGATAGAAAAAAATGATAATTGAACTGGGTGGAGAGAGTGATAGCGAGAGTGAATTGGATTCTGAAAGTTACTGACTTTACATCGTTAAGTTAGTAAACCAAACTAGATAGCATATGACTGTAAAAACAATTCATGTTTTAATTGAATTGTTTTTTCAGAAGTGTTGTTTTCCGGGACAAGTTCTGTAACGAATCCATGTATGCATGTTTCGCACGAACGTAACAATAACAACAGTCTCTGCTCCCCTATTTAATGAAGTTAACTCAACCAGCCGTTTGTGCCATTGACCTCTCGGGTCATGCATATGTTGAGTAGCTCAGGTCAAGCTGAACAACCTGTAGTCATGTTGACATGAAAAAGATCAAGTGAAGATGAAGGTCCTCCTACGATCAAGGGTCTCAAGATGAAAGTCCGTCTACTCATGTCAATATTCCAATATAAAGAGTGTCGATGGTTTAGGTCAACAAATCATGTTACTCAGCAATCCAAAACCAGAGACCATTTACCATATCGGTATATGGTCTCTGCCAAAACTTAAGCCCCGTAAGATACAACTAAGATACGTCTCTCATATGACTAAGGAGATGTTTGTGTCTATTGTATTTGCTTGCTTTATACCATCACCTTCCCAACAGAGGCGTTAGTTGATGGAAATGTGTTACAGAAACTTACACTGGCTTCACACTTGACGCGTTCGCTGAATCATCTGACGTCATGCTGACGTTAGGAGAGGTAGAGGTAACGTTCCAGTTGCAGCCGTGAGTCAAGAAGGTAGCTGCATGCGACGATGGTGCGTGAACGAAACGTCCAAAAGAAAACCATCCTGTGACGAAGATTGCCACGAAGTAACCACTTAATGCTCCCTTCAGAGTTCAGAGGATACAAAGGAAACGTTTCAGTGCAAAATTTACAGCAAACACTCACCCCTTTAAAGAAAATATACATGGTACAACATGAGTGAATTATTAAGAAACTATATATTTCGAAGTGTGTCGTGAGTAAGAAATGCCATTTGTTAATGAATGGCATTCAGCTGTGTTGACTGTAAAGACAAAATTCGTATCCATTTTTATATCGTGCTTGTTAAACGAAAATCGATCTTAAAATACATGCTAATTATTCATTCGTATATATAACAGCGAGTCGATGATAAAGATATCGATTAATAAAAAACCACGTATTTTGTTTTTATTGTTCTTGCAATAATCTTGCTTTGCACGTTACATGTTTGATCGCTTTCTAGCATACAGTGTCAAAACACACACACACACACACACACACACACACACACACACACACACACATATTCAGACAATAACATTAATACTTGTACCTTTTTATTCGCCCATGGGCAAAACATTCCAAGACAAAATATGCCAACCTTTGGCCCAAGTAACACTGGAAGAATGCTCAACACTCCCTGAAATACAAAACATACTCTATAATGTACACAATAACGTTCATGGGACGAGTATCCGATGTTACGATTTGTGTGGGAGAGATACTTTAATCCGTTAAAAGGCCGCAGCCCCAAAGAGCATGCAGTTTACATGAAATATAGTATACAGCTTTATGTTAAGATTGAGGACCTGTGTGATGAAAATGGTTTCATGCCTTATGAAGCAATGATATGTAAATAAACATATTTGATGAAACAATTCAGATCATAACTATGGTCCACATATTTTGACCGAATCGTGAAAAAATACAAGAAGAACTAAAATTATCAAAACTAAATGTAATCTTAAAGAGGTTGGATACCGTGATTTGTGCACATACCGTATGCGAAAAGATGTGACAGTAGGAGCGCGTACTTATGTTACGCAGTTATTTCCCTTCATCTTGCTTCTAATCATATTTCTTGATATTTTGGCCACACAAGCATTTATCCTGAGGTAAACCTGGGCAAGAGTTATCTCTCCTTATCAAATTTAATTTGGGTATGCTGTTGTAATTGGAAATAATGTTGACACCCTCCGGTAACATATTTATTCTATTTTTGAATATTAATCTAGTGTGAATTTACTGTATAAAAATTCATTTTATAAGTTTTTTGTTATTATAAAAATCTTTTTTTCATTGATGAATCAATACGTTTTTTTAAATTCCTGGGTTTTTAAAGTTATTTAATGTGTCAAATCCTACATACTGCCTTGAAAATTGATTTTCCAGCTTTATTTCATGTCAATACTGAAATATCTTTATAAAAAACACATATTGAATAATGAAGTAAACAATTTACTTTTAAGAGAACTTTATTGACATATTACTTTTTACAGACGGTGCCACAAGGGTGCGCCACTTGTCAAACGAATGCCTTGGTGACTTGCTATTTTTATTACATAAATAGATTTGGGACACATTTTGATACAAACTGATGCCAAATTTAGCAATTTCGTGACATTTTGTATGCAACCTCCTTAATATGTATCTTCTTATAAAATCATCTCATGGTTCAAGGTTATTTTATGACACACTTGTGTATAAAATATATATGATGTCTTTTTATTGGCATGAAGTTTCATCTCAAAATGAGATAATGCTATGGATAATTATTATAGTTATGTTTTGCTGTTACTCCCAATATTCAATACTGGACATTGGATGTACGTTTCCTTGTAAACAAAATCATCTGACGCCATTTTATGTTATTGACATCTACTTACAACATATTACTTTAATAAAGGGAACACATAATTTTTTTAAATTCGAACAGTACAGACTAAAACTTTGAGAAAATAATGTATCGACGCAAAACTGCATGTAATGTGTCTGATCTAGGAAAGCTTTTGGTTTCAGATGTTTCAATATAGTACCTTCTGGACTAAACACAATGTGTATGACACAATGTGAGGTGAGGTGAGGTGAAATTGGGTTTAACGTCGTGCTTGAGAATATTTCGCTCATATGACGACGTGCATGCGTGTGTATGTGTATGTGCGGCTGCTTGTACTAGCCCAGACTCAAGCTTGTTTTATAGTGCTAGCCCACTGAGATACCATGCCGCAGTGAAGCATGAATACCCCACTCAGACACATTATACTGACTCCAAGCCGACCAGTCCTTGTTGTACCCATTAATGCCGAGCGCCAGGCAGGGACCAACAAGTACCATATTTTAACGTCTTTTGGTATGACGCGGTCGGGGATCGAACCCGCGACCTTCCGCTCTCCGGGCGGACGCTCTAACCACTACACCACGGAGGCGGTTCGTATGGCACAATGTAAAAACGGCTTACCTGAAATAAGGCACCAAGCAGAGAGATGAAATACGATGTACAGATGGTGACAAATCCACAAACAAGCACTGAATAACAAATGATAGAAATATCTTTAACGTATAGAATAGATCCATAAACTAAAGATTGGTGTCAGTAATTTTCGTTCAAGCAAATCAGACATGAATCCATCAACTAGATGTAATACCTTGGATCTCAGGTTTTATACGGTGCTTTGAGGTATTGTGTGACCACAATTTTAAATTTATGAAGATTTTGTGGATGTTTATCAGCTCCTGTATCCATTATACTTAAAACGTGGGTTTCAATAAGTGACGTCCAACATGACTGTAGGCGACCGTTTCTAGTTTTGAATAAGATAGCTGAACGTTAATAGAGAATTCAATAGTTCTTGAATAGTAGAAATATTCCATCATACAATACCTGTACTCTTAGCAAGTCTCATTTCTCCTTTGGCTGAGAGGTGCTTCAAACAGAATGGTTTGATAATATCATCAGGGATCACCATCCCTAAGCAGTTCAAGACACTAGACATCGTGCTGAAGAATAGAAAGTCCATCTGTCAACGATCAGTCTCGCATACTTAAACCTGTTATTTTTACCACATCACTTCACTCGTCTGATTATATACTCACAATACTTTATTGGAGGTTACCTAGATGTAGTTTGGCAGCTTGATACAAATGAGCACCTCAAAAACATAACAAGCAAAGCTGTGGTAAAACGATAAAAACGGCAATGTCACTTACGTTAAAGGTCAACTTCCACCTGCATTAAATATAAATGGCATTGTACTGCCGACATCGTTTCTCACACAGTCTGTACCGAAGAGACTCACACGGTATGTACCTGAGACTCTCACACGGTATGTGTCGGAGATGTCTCACACAGTCTGCATCAGAGACACTGTCCCAGTCTGTACCAGAGACACTCACATAGTCTGTACGTGAGGCTCCCCCACGGTACGTACGGCTGACACTGTCTACCTGAGGCTGCCACACGGTATGTACCTAAGACACTCACACAGTCTGTACCAGAGACACTCACAGAGTCTGTACCTGAGGCTCCCACACAGTAGGTACCGCTGACACTCACACAGTCTACCTGACTCTCCCACACGGTATGTACCACACAGTAGGTACCAGGTAGTCTCTCACAGTCTGTACCTGCGGTTCCCACACAGTCTGTACCCGAGACACTCACACAGTCTGTAACAGAGACACTCACACAGCCTACATAAGGCTCCCACACAGTCTGTACCGCTGACACTCAAACAGTCTACCTGACTCTCCCACAATCTGTACCAGGTAGTCTCACACATTATAAACCTCCAGTGACGTCACCTATTGTCTCGCCAGGTTCTTCGTTTACAGAGTAAACCTCTACAGGCAGATTCGCGGGCATTCTCCTTGGATTTCCGTGGATTTTCTACAGAATTGCCTGCATCCCTGGAAGTTTCTACAGAATTGCCCGCATCCCGGGGATTTTCTGAGGAATAGCCCTTGACTTTGAATTATTACTTGTTAAGAAGATTGATATAACTTTGTCTTGCTATCACTGAATTCGTAAAATATCGATTATTGAAAACTTCCAACATGCAGCGTCGATACCTGGTTTCGAACCTGCAACTGTTCGCCTACTAGCTTGGCGGTTTTATCCACTAGGCTACGAAGAATCGCTGTGAAGAATAAGATTGTTTGTCAGCATGAACCGTGTGTTCCTCACAAGACGGGCAGTGCACGTGCAGGCCACGGGTAGCGCGTGCAGAGCACGTGTATTGCGCGTGCAAGGCAAGGTGTTGGCTGCCAGTCTCATCCCAGTTGATTTCAAAAGTAAATACCAAATATTGAAATTATATCGAAAGTATATATTCGGTAGGTTTATAACTACGATAACACATGACCCTCGGGCATTATTAAGAAGTAAGGATGTTTTTCTTCGGTCCTTGGGCATTCCCTCGGGAAAACATCTTTACTTCTTAATAATGCCCACGGGTCATGCTTTATCCTATACGTATGTTACTGAGGCCCCCACACAGTCTGTACCTGAGGCTCCCACACGGTATGTGTCGGCGATGTCTCACACAGTCTGTACCTGAGAGACTCCCACACGGTATTTGTCGGAGATGTCTCATACAGTTTGTACCTGAGACTTCCACACAGTCTGTACCTGAGACTCCCACACGGTAGGTACCGCTGACACTCACGCAGTCTGTACCAGCTAGTCTCACACAGTCTGTACCTGAGGCTCCCACGTGGTAGGTACCAGAGACACTCACACAGTCTGTACCTGAGGCTCCCACATGGTAGGTACCAGAGACATCCACACAGTCTGTATCAGAGACTCTCACACAGTATGTACCAGAGACACTTACACATTATAAACCTCCAGTGACGCCCGGGATACAAATCTGATCATTCGGCTATTACTTTAACCATATATAACTCTTTGAGTAAGAATAGAGGAAAGTGGTACTGGAAATTCAACACATCTCTTTTGAGAATTAAAGAATACATTGATATTGTAAAAAGAATTCTGCTAGAAACTAAGTCAGAATATGCTAAGAACAGTTATACACACCTGGAACTTAATTAAGGACCCCCCCCCTATTTTCTGGATGATGAGAAACAAAACTTGCTGTAACTTTCTCACTATTCCAAAGATAGTGGAACCTTAGCTATTGTGAAACATACCATCTATTGGCAAATGAAAAACAAGACAATGATTCCAATACGTGTTGTTTTAATAGCGTAACCAATGTGATTTGGTCACTATTGATTTTTGATGAAAATAGTCACTGAACAAGTATGGTCGTAGCATTGTCAATGGCTGACTATTACAAGAAATGATGCACAAGGAATGTCACATGTTAACATCTGATGGGTCTGGCATCAGTATTGGTTGTATCCCCCACGTGCTTGGATGACAGCTTGAATCCTCCTCCTCATGCTACTGGTAAACCTTCTGATTCGATCAAGTGGCAATTGCCGCCATTCTTCATGCAATGCAGCTTCCAGCTGTGCAAGATGCTGGAGAGAGGGTTCTCTCAACCTCACACGGCGTCCAAGAAAGTCCCAGATGTGCTCCAAAGGATTCAAATCGGGGCTCATTGCTGGCCAAGGTAATGTCATGATAGCCTCATTCTGGAGATGTGCGGTCACAGCACGTGAACGATGCAGCCT